TGATCCTGTGATGATGATTCACCCCGTAGTCGAAACGTCTTCGCTTATGTTAGCTTTCGTAAATTTGTTGGAATCGGCGGAGCACCTGCGCCTCATACTCATGTGACGCTTGCACACGACTCTTCTCCCGACGGAGCCGCAAACCGCGAGCTGTTTCTAGCATAATCATGTCCGCACTCCGCACCACGGGTCGAATCGTAGTAAGGTCTCGTGACAATACTCCCATCACCTTGGCTGCCCCTCGAAGCCACGAAAAGCTTATCGGATCTTCATTCGATAATGTGTAGTAGATAGCCTCGGAACTCGCGGAGATTGCAAGCAAATGAGGATGCAAGGTTTTCAATGTTAGCGAAGGTCGAAGTGATTTTGATCAGTTTTGAATCGGTTATTCCTCCAGAATTACTCGCTCGGGATTCTGACGGAACTTGCGATTCGATTGAGATTTTAGCTCAGATCAGCCCTTGTTAGACTTCCTGATGTCTAGACATTTCGCTCGCCTTACATGGACACATACACACAAGAAGCGCGACGCTTTTTGACTCCATGTTGAGATGAGAAATCGGGACAGAACGATTTCTATTCTATGAGGATAGGGCTGTCAGGAACTCTAATTGTATTAATGCGTATCGGAAGCCGTGCTGATTAGGACGAACCCGCATGTACTGTATTGCATGGGTAGACTACTCAATCGAGGAGCTCTTGCTGTGCTGAAATCAGTTTCTGTTCCCTCGTGATGCCTCCGAGAAATGAACGATTCCTGAATGTATGCGCTGAGCGGGCTGTTCCAATCCTTGAAGTTTCTATTTACTTTTGAATGGACACGTCGGGGGTATGAGAGTGGTTGGCGCCCGTCTCGTCTGTCGGCCCCGTCCCGTTCCTCCGAAAATCCAGATACGTTCCCATCGCGAGCAAATCACCCTCTAAGACTTGATGAAGACTCTCACCGGACCCAAGGATTCGATTCAGCATTTTCCCCCTATCTATCGCACACAGTCAACACAGAGAGTACACGTCCATGAATTTGGAATTATACCCGAGCCTTGTTCGTGACTCGGACTTGGAGTTCGGGAATTCAGAATCTTATTTTCTCAAGTCGACCTCTCTCATCGCTCCTCCGCAGAACGACCCCTAAGCGAAGCGATCCGGAATTCAGAAAGGGATCCCGTTCAAAGCAATGTCCTCGCGGCTGGCAGTATCTGCATCGCCCAGCAGAACTACGTGTAGGTCTATCGTATGGATGTTTCCGAATTGAATAAGTATGCTCCTCGATCTTCTTCTCAACTCCACTGTGAATTTCGATTGCAGCGCACAGTCGAAGCAACAATTGAGTCTCCACTCTGGAGACACAGTTGAAGTTCTTCGTGTGATCGACTCCGTGATGCTGGAGGGCCGCAACCGGGATACGGGCCAGTGTGGACTTTTCCCTTCAGTCTGCGTGGCTCTCGCCGGCGCTAATCCAGAGGGTCATCTCTTCTCAAGGGGGAGACCCACGAGAAGCAAACTGTGAGCAACAGATTATTGGAGAAAGAATTATCGAGTCGAAATCGACCATCCGATCCCAGAGACCGTTATATTCCCAGCCCGTCAGATATGTGGAGAGCGCGCGGGCGCTCTATTCGAGATCACTGACGGGTTGAATTAATCTTGCGTTTCTTATGCATATTCCAGTTTTACAGAACCGCGAACCGTGGTTCTCCACAAGAACAAGAAAGGCTTTGGATTCATTCTCAGGGGAGCCAGAGGTGAGCATCGATTTCCACCTCCTAGTTTCCCTAGACATCCCCTAGTTCAGATTCTGTAGTGCCGTGGTGAGATTCGACTTGAGCGATAACGTTTTCCTTTCTCCAACCCCGCAGACCGCAAAACTTTCAAAGGTACGATTTCCGATGCGGCTCTAATATTCGCCGAGAGTCATTTCCTTTCGGTCGAGCCTTCCGATTTGATGAAGATGACAATTCCTAAAATTTATTGAATACCCGCAGAGATCAACGACAATGGGCCTTCCCTGCAATATCTCGACGACATCGACAAAGGCGGAGTGGCGGATATGGCCGGACTGAAAAAAGGAGACTATTTGCTCGAGGTCAGTTCTGAGGGGCACGGCGTCAATTTTGCTCTTCATGGAGCTGAGTGAATTCCGGATCAGCAAAAGGCCAGTGTGTCCGACGATAAAGAGCGCATGACAACGGTCCCCATTTCCAGATCAACGGACAAGATGTTTCACAAGCATCTCACGAAACGGTAGTCAATATCATAAGACAGAGTGGGGACTTGGTCGCTATGACCGTCGTCGCAGCGATCACAGCAGGCGATTCGCAGGCGAATTACCGACAGTGCACTACGCTACCAAGCAAGCTTTCCAAAAAAGGTACTGAGAATACTCTCCCAGGAGTTTTTTGTGATACAGCTTGCCCCTTGCGATCACGAAGCTATTCTCAAGGGAGCAGGTCGATCGATTTCAGCGCCAGCGCCCCCGAAACGGGACCCGAAGACCACGCTGACTCTGGGGCCGAAATCCGGCGGTGGACAGATTGATCATGATGTTGGTCACGGTCTGGGCTTGGGACCCGGAAACGGAATCGGCCACATCCTTGAGTACAATTCATCCACGCCGTCGTCGTTCGCCCAGCAGCAGCAACAGCTGCTCATCCAACAACAGCAGCAGCAGCAGCAGCAAGATCTGCTGCAGAAATACGTGACGGAACAGTCTCATTTCGACGACGAAAGAATGTGTATTTCCACAATCGAAGATTCCAACAAGCTTGCTTCGATTCGATCCCGACCATCGTCTCGGAGATTGACTGGCGCCGAACTCGAGGAATTCTTCACAAAGCAAAGCCAACAAAATTTACTCAAGCACAAGCAGAACCAGCCCCAACAAGTACTGATTGATGACAATGATGCAATGAGGAAATGTGCCACGATAGCACGTTTCCCGAGATCGGGCGAAATCAAACCAGCCAGCGCAGAAGAGGAGGAGGCCCTCAAAGCGCTCCACAGGAATTTCGCTAGCGTACCTGATCTCAACAAAGAAGGCGAAAACTCTAAATCTCGAAGCGCCAGTGGCGACAATCTCAAACAAGAACTCCAACAAGGTGATATCGTTTACTCGAGAAGCAGCAAGGCGATCAAAAGGGATGACAAACGAATTTATGCGGAAACCCTGCCCCTCGGTAAGAAGAACCTCCCGGGCGCGGGTCCTCCACCCACGCATCCGCCCCCGCCTCCGCCAGGTCAGCAACAATCGGCACAGCAGCAATCTGGTGCGTCGAAAGCCGACTACGCCGGATACCCGGTGAGTATCGTCCTTGAGTCTCCGGAAAAGATCTCGAGGAATCTATAGGGCATATTTTGGGCGATACGATGCCTTTCGAACTCACAGCGGTCTTTGATACCCACCCTAGGACGTCAATTCGGAATCGCTAGCTCTAGGGGGAGTACACATGTCCAGTTTCCGACCCGGAGACTCAGCGAAATTATATGCGAGTCCTGAGTCCGTCATGTCCTCGGTCGGCTATAGGCCGTCGTCTGGTCAGACTTCAGGAGCAGCGTCAAATGCCAATCGCTCGCAGTCGGTCCCCCCTCCCAGGAATCGCAAGGATCAATCGGCAGCGTACAAGATGCAGGTCACTGCAGGTAAAAAAAACTCGGAATTCATCGCTCAGATTCTCGATACAAATAAGTCAGAGAACAATATGGAACGGGCGGGGCATATGATCCTCGGAGGAGCGGCGTCCAGATCGATACCGAATTTCGATCGATAACGCAATGATCCGGAGCTGATGAGTCTGTCAATAGGCTAGGAGACCGCTGACGACCTTCCGATTGAGTGTGTTTGTTTCTTCGAGAAACGTCCTCGGATTCCGCCGGGGACTTGCTCTTTTCGGGGAGAACGCGATAGCTCTCTGCCATTGTGTTCGGCAATGTTATAGCATTGAGAGGCGCCATTTCACGCTGTTCAAATTTTCCATGTTTAGCTCTCTTCCTTCTGCGTTTACCAATCGAGTGTCTCCCGAGGTAATTCACAGAGGTGTGGTGTGCTCTTTCAGCTGTGGTGTAATTCACTAACGACGAGCACGTTCGATTGCTAACAAGTTCAGGCTCTTGCGAGCAGTCGCAGACTTCGACGTTTGCTAAAGAATGGAGAGAGTGTTTGTTCTACATAATTTTGAGTTTGTTCGACATAATTCCCGATCCTATACGGCGTGAGATGAAGATCTGGACACCAGTCTGGATTTCTCATTACCCCAGGAGCCGGGAGGATGGCTCGACATAGTCGCATTGCGTGCTCTGCGCAGTTCGTCGAGACGATGTATTCTGAGAATAATCATCGTTCCATTCTCCAGGAATGGGCAGCGGGAACCGAGCCGATGAGTGTGTCCTTCCTGAAGACGCAAGTACTCCGCCTCTCCCGCCTCCGCCTTCTGAAAGCCTTCAACTTCATCGATCTTCACATCATGCAGCTCATCATCAGCCCTACATTCCTGATCCCGATTACAATAGCTCGGACGATGACACGCCCAAGCAAGGTATGAGGAGTCTGGGATCGTCTTCGACGAGTTCCTTCCGAATTCATTCGCATTGAGTCTTAGCGTAGCATCGGAAGATATTCAAGATATTCGTTTCTGCTCGGGGATCGCACGAGTTCAAAAACTCGGCGGGCAGCATTTTTGCATAGACGAATCGGTGGACACGATTCTTCCATATCAAAAGTGCCTAATTTTTTCCGGAGCGATTCGTTCGAGCATCCCAGATAGATTCATAGGAGATTGGTGAATGGAGTCGTCGAATAGGAAATTGTGTCCGGTTCCGACCGCTCGTTAGCAATTTCATCTAGTTTGAGTGGAATTCTCTCTCATCAGACCTTCCACTTCCTCCCCCTCCCCCATTACCTGGACAAGAAGGAGGGGGTGTTCAGGGTCAGATAAAACCTCCTGTGCGATCGAGCTCTATCCTAGAGCAACCTTTGCCGAAACCCCCGCTCGGCAAAGCGTCCGCCAATCAGCTTAACGCTAGCGCTACCGGAGTTCAAATAAAACGCCAAGGCGACAAACTAGTCCTCGAGGTAAGCTTGAGCTCTTCTTCGACGCTAATGGTTCGACCCCATCAGAGCACGAGTGGAGGTGGGCTCTTGAGTATTCTCGACTGCGGGAGGATAACACAATCATCGTTCCCTCAACAGCAGTTAGTAGGCGAAAACAATGAGCACCAAGGAGTTCCAACCCAGTCTGTGATGCGATGCAGCACAGCCACCGCTGGCCAGATGCAGGCTGCCGCTTTGGCTCTCTCGGGTCATCTGCCCACGGGTCAGAGTCCAGGTCAGAGGCCTATGAGCCACGATGACTCGTCACTGATCGAGAAGAAATTGATCGAGCAGCGAAGAGCCCAAGTCATTCATCAGCACATCCTCGCTCAACAACAAAATCAGCAGCAACAACAAATGGCAGCAGCTGGACGCTCCGCGGGAATAACTGGCGGCGCCGGATCAACGCCGAGCGAGGAGTTGTTGAAACGATTGAATCAGAGTTATGTTGTTCAACGAGGTCAAGGTGCTGACGAAGCAAGCCAACGCCAACAGCAACTGAGTACGCTCCAGCGCCAGCAGCATCAGCAACAGGAGCAACAACAAATGGCACAGCGCAGGAGCCAAAGCGCCACGCGTGCTGGCGAGGCGAACAATAACAACAGCGCGAACAACAACCTCACTCAACAGCAGCTCTATCTCCTGCAACAGCGTCAATTACAGCAGCAGCAGCAACAGCAGCAACAGCAACAACAACAAACAACGCTGCCGATGACCAAGCATAGCGGTCAGGTGAGTACGGAATGCCGAGTCCGCGCGATTATTCGCTCCACGTGGATGCTGAAAGATGAGATACGGACCCCCAACCGTCGACGAGTCGGAACCAGGAGGAATATCACGTTCAAAAGCTTTCAGACTCATGAAAATCGTGCTTCTCATCCACGCTCTCATTTTTCGATCAGGTGTTGAATGCTCAACAACAAGCCGCTCTCCATCAGCAGCAAATCTATCAGCAGCATTTACAGCGTCAACGCGAGTTGCAGCTGCACAACCAAGGTCAACAGTACAACAGCCAGCAAAACCACCAACAGCAACAGCAGCAGCAGCAGCAGCAACAACAACAACAACAACAACAACAAGCTGGCCAGCAAAACATTCCCAAGAAAACTCTCAAGATTAGGTTGGATCAAAAAGTAAGGTCCTTCACCGCGATTCTCCGAGGTCTCCTTCGCTTAGTTTCTTGCCTACTGATGAGACGACCCGGACCCGGATTGAGCTTATAAGACTGAATCGTCTATTTTCAGGTGCAAGCAACGCGACGATCCCAAGATCGTTGCAGCTCCCTAGATAGGAATAGCGCTCTCCAGAGATCCCTCGACTCTACGACGGACTGCTCGGGGCTACGCAAAAGCATCGATGAAAGCTTACAATTCATCCGTATGCAGGTGGATAGTTTGGGTTTAGCAGCTGTCTCGGAGGTAGATGTTCTACCCGAAGTAGTTCCTCCCCCACCAGAATTCACAGCCGCACAGGCGGGCCAACGAGGCGGATCCCAATGCCCTCCGCCGCCACAATTCAGCGACCATCTGCATCACGCAGCGCGGACGACGATTCCCCAACTAACCCCGCAGCAACATGGTGAGTTCCGGATGGACCGCGTATTGGAGCCACGTACGTTGGCGCTCGATTGCGGCATCGCTCCGAGCGGAAGCGAAGGCGATAGAGCGTCGGAATCGTCATTGACTGAGAATTCTTCCGCAGCTCAATTAACCCCTCAGCAACAAGCAGCGTATCAGGCCGCTTTGCTGCAGCAACAACAGCGCCAACAACTTCAACAACAGAGACAACAACTCCAACAGCATCATCCAGGTATGTGAACAGATGAGTCTGCGTGCGACGTTTCCTCGCTCCCTCTCACCCTAATACGTAGTTTCCTCGCCACAATGTTTCGATCGTGGCCGTGATTGATTGACGCGCTTACTAGAGACAATGCCTAATTAGAGACAGGGTCAGATCGAACTCACTCAAAGTTCAGGGAATATCAGTGCACGGGGTCGGAACACCCGTAGAGAGGGATTAGCGAGAATTCGAGAATAGAGATACAAACCGCACATTATTAATGAATCCAATCAGCTTAGAACGAAAGACTCGCTTCTCGCAGCAATTCGCGTAGAATTCGCGCTTTAAAGAGCCTGTCGTGCGCCCCGAGCCATTGCGTCGCAGCGCCTTTTTCCTAGAATTCGCGACTTCCTTCACAAAGAATCCAAAGGGGAATAGTCTTTTCCGGAGACCACCTAGATCAGAGGTTCACGCAAGAAAACATCGCTGTAGGTCGAGCTTCTCCAGATCTCCGTCAGCAGTATGCCCAGCAAATGGCCCAGCAACAAGCTGCCTATGAGGCATACGCTAAGCGATTGCAACAAAATGGCTGCAGCACGCTACCCTCAGGCTTCACAGGTAGAGTACTCCGCTTCGCCGCTAGGAAGTCCGTGCGAAGGAGCTCGCTCTGAGAAATCCGCGCCGGGCGGTTTCAGCATGGCGTCCCACTTGATCGGGCACTGAACGTATTTCAGGAGGAGGCACCCTTAGGGTTGTGCGCCAGAATCAAGGATGGGAAAACCAACAGCTTGACGCGCGCCAACAATTCGGGACGATTGGAGGCCGTATGGGAGGTCATGTGCAACATTCGCAGCAGCAACAATCGCGCCTGCAGCAGCAGTATCAACAATATCAGCTCCAGAAGCAGCAGCAGGCAGCTCATCAACAGCAACAGCATCAGCAGCAGCAGCATCAGGCAGCTCATCAACAACAAGGCGTATTGCAAGTGGAGAGGCACGACCTCGCTAGGCTTAGAACGGTGGGTACAGAGCCCCGGGCCGTATCTCCCCGAGGAAGAATTCCATATAATTCCATACGTGGAGAGGGAAACAGGGGCCCTTTCGACGGTCTCCGTGATCGAGGTGGCAGCTCATCGGAAACCCTCGTCTCTTCCAGGTTCAGAGAGAATTCCGACAGAAATCGCTTGACCAGTGGACCCAGCGGGATGTTGCTGACTGGTTGGAGTCTTTGTTCCTCCAGGAGTATAGGACAAACTTCCAAGGAATCAACGGAGCCAAACTGTTACAAATGAATCAGAATGACTTTATAACTCTTGGGGTGAAGCAGGTGGGACACCGAGTGAACATGGAGCGATCTCTGAAGAGATATATGAAATGAGTGATCGAGATGAGTGACCGATGAATACTCGATTTTTCCCGGGGTCCGAACTTGGAAATCAACGCAGTTGATCTCACGTGAGAAACTTTCGTGGATCTCGGAAATCCTTGTACTCTGAATAAGCGAAAAGTTCCTCGATGAGTTCCCCAATTGTAACTATTCAAAAGAACTTCCATCGTGACAAAGTCTTGAACCCATGGCAGGGAAGGATCCCTGCAAGCGCTGATTAAGCGGGTGCAATATTATGCATTTTGCGACGGCCGATTTTCCGATGGTTCCCGTCAGGACCCAGTTGGAGTATCCGGAAGAATGTGCACCTTGCGATTCTTCCACCGAGAGAAAAACTACGGCAGACTCCTACTGATCTCCTTCTTCTTCGTCGAGGGGCGGCAACGAATCTGAAAAGGCGGCAGAACTCTATTCAATAAGAATCCATGACAGATGTTCCCGCTTTCGATCGCTTGGTCGCAACTTGAAGTGCTCAAACAGAAATACGAGACACCTAGAACAAAGAGGTAGGATATGCAAGTTTCGCGTGCAACCCCTTAGATCTTCCACAAAACGGAAGAACCTAGCATCATTCTCTGTGGAGCCCTCTGTGTCGGGGGTGCCACTCGATCGTTGGGTAGCACCCGAAGATTGACGTTCGGCGATCTATCCGAGAGCATCCTCGCCTTCTTCCACGATGCTCCCGCGAGAGAAATTCTCGTTGAGCTTATTTCCATCGTCTCCAAGCTATTCAGCTCTATCGTTCTATCTGTCCATTATAATGTCATATTCTGAAGCGATAAAAAAGTCTTTGTCGACCGGACGCGTCCTCCTCTGATCCGAACAGTCAAGGAATGCCTTAATTCCCCAATGCGGTACCGCAGAAATTGCAGGCGAACAGAAGACGGAAGAATCGATGCTTTCGCCATCCTCATGACCTCATCATCCCGATCGGACCTGAAATGGCTGCGCGTCCCTGCTAAGCTGACCCAGTAATTGGGGCCTGGTGGAAATTGAAATATCGATTTTCTTTTTTCTCTTCAATAGCCTCCGGGCTCCCCCTCCTTTGATGCAGTAGGTGAGCGAGCTCCTGGTTTGATTTCGTGGACGGGAAATCGGAGTATTTTCGATTACCAAAGCCAAAAACTCCAGTGTTCCCACCGCTGGGCTAGCAGGTGTAAGGATTTGTCGTTCGACAAGAGTTGAATACTGTCCTAATTTGCCTGAGGAACACATCTTGAATCCGCTCACAACCCTGCAAGTAAATAGTCTGGGCAACTGATGGAACACGGGAAACGATATTCGAGGAGGGGATAAAGGTATTCCTGCTTTGGACAAGTTCTGGGATTGGTTCGACCTGCTAGGGCTACAGGACGAATTCCATTATTTAGTTGACCAGTTAACATGTTGGAAGATTACACCTCTATTTCGTCAGATAACTCAAGTATTCATAGAATCTCATAGTTTATGGCCATATAGCTTAGTCAGCTGATTCCTAATGAAGAATCGCTAGGCAAAGTAGGAAATATGTATTTGTCTACCTACGATGTGTGGAAAGACGGAGCAGCAGATCAATGATGATAATGATAGTAATCTTATTATTATTATTATCGATATCGAGGAGAGAAGGGTAAGGGAGAGATGATGAGGATGATGATAGTAATAAAATTCAAGGTAATAATTGCTCAATCTGCAGCCGCCGCATACTTCTGTATTTATTAATGGCCCTCTCAAGCCGGAGGACAACCTCCTACTGAATCACATTCCTCTTGTCTCGTCCTAGAAGACCAAGACAAGACAGTATGTCGAGGTCACTCCCCGGTCAGACCGAGATTCTCCACCACAGATGATTGAGCTCTCGATGTGGTGGTCAGCACCTGGTCGGAGTGAGTTGAAGCGACCGCATCTCCGGCACGGAACGTCCTCCCGTTTCTCATTGGTAGCGTTTCCTATCGGTCCCAATTCGTCTCCTCACTGTAGAATCACAGAGGCGATGACGTCTTCCAGATGAATCCGTCGAAATTCTTCTTCGAGCCTCTCTCTGAGCGCTTTCTCTATCTGTGATTGTTAAGGCGTCAGATAGTTCTGTAGATCCTTCAGTCTCAATGCATGAAATTCCTGCTGAGTGGAGCTTCACCTGCCTTTTCCTTCAGTTTTGAGCGCGACAGGTTCAACGCTAATTCCAGTGTGGGTTTCGTCAGCCAGTTGAGTAACCGAGAGGTACCGGCAAACTCTCGTATGAGAATTTTTCCGAAGGTATGAATCTGCAAAGAATACGCCGGGGGACTACAATGAGGCCGGATAGCGTGGAATCGAGCTCATCGGAAGGTACTGTCCCATCGCCAGAAGCCAGGAACGCAAGAGCCGGAATTCCCGACGCAAGATCAACTGTCGGAGTCATCAGAACTCGTCAAAGGTCCCACATTTAGGGGGCCGAAAAATCCCGGATCCGGGAGGGCTGCCGCGGCTCTGAGCGCGACCTTCCGCTTCTCCCTTGTCTCTCCATATTTTTCGAGATGATGAGCTTATAGACATTCACGTGGTCTTCCCGAGTTGTGCGGTTCAGCGCGCTCTGCCACGCCTTGCCGTGATTCATCGAGCGGGCGCCAAAAGTAGCCTTTCTAACAAAATGAGACATGGAAGACCGTGAATCTAAATCAAAAGCAGATTCATTCCAGCTCGCAGGATTCCGGTCTTCTAAAGATCTAGCTTGCTCGATTGTGACTTCCGAGGCGGAACATCTCGAAATTTTCCTTGTCGCGCACTAATCCGTCGGAAGGAGGCACGTCCCATTGAAAAAGAGCACGATCGTTCGCACGATGACTACGATCGTATGCGGGGGAGAAGCATTCAGGGAGCTGAGGAGTAAGTGCAGAAGTTTCAACTTACCTCAAACTGATCCAAACTCGCCTTCGCACCACGAAAAGAAGCCCGAAGACCCATCTCGATGTTATTCACCCTCATATTAAGTCGCCCCTGTGAGGGAACGCCCAGTGCTCGCACATTGTACCTGCGACACGGGGAAAACTCGTCAGTAGATGGGAACCCGGCCTTCTTTGCTGAATGTATCGAATCATCACGGGCGAGCATAGAATTTTCTTTTGGTTGATTGGGATTTTCGGGGTGGGGGACCAAGGAACCAAAATGATGCCGCGTCTTCCTCGGTTCTACACCCGAGCTTTACGACCAAAGGATTTCCGGGAAGAGGGCAAGGGTATGGGTGGAGGTGTACGGAGGTCTTTCCGGATCTTATTTACGAACATCTTGATCCCATCAGAACCTCTTCAATTGTAATGCCGTCTCGAAACTCACTTGAACTTGAGATCGACATCTTTGACCGCGAGCTTTGCTATTACTTCGGGCGTGTCCGGGACAAACGTGATGTCTCCTACCCGGTGCAGAGAGAGGAGACCATTTACGGAAATCTGCGAGCATGAGTGTTTAGCATGTATTATCGATACTGCTTCTATCCACTCCGGGAAAGCCCACGGCCGCCGCGCCGCTAGGAAAATGGGAGCTCGGAATGAAATGATTTCCCAGGCTCCCCTTCTTCCATATTACCGTAGCATGCACACTAATCGTAGTGTAAATAAAGAGTAGAGAGCCTCCGAGACTCTCGCCTGAGGAGGATTCTTCCGGCCTTGGTGCGCTTATTAGTAGAGTTCCCATTTACCCGGACATGTCCTTGTCCGTCTTCTTGTCCGGTTTTCCGCATTTTTGTCCGGTTTTTGGTAATCGCCGATTCCGGAGGGGCTAATCTTGGAATCCTGGTCTCAATTGATCCGTGCTGGACGCTCCCTGATTCCACTAGGGGCTAATCTTGGAATCCTGGTCTCAATTGATCCGTGCTGGACGCTCCCTGATTCCCCTAGGTCAAGGCTTTTCCTGAGCGTTTGCTCCTTCTCACGGAGTCACGGAGTCGAAGTCTCACTGAGATTTGCGGATTCGCTCGAAGGCGAGCACAGGCCCCATTGAAACGATTCCCACTTCTAGGGGCAGTTTACTGGTCTTGCAATCGATATCCGTTCAAGCGGCTCTATGTATCGATTATGCTCTATACTCTCTTTCTCGAGTTTTCTCCATATACTCCGTATACTCGAAGCACAGACGTCTGGAACGCTCTGGACGCTCGTCGCTTCCGACACTCACGAATCTTCTTCCGCGTTGTAAGTATCAGGTGTCGTCGTCCGCCAGCTCGTCAACGAGGTTCAATGGTTTAACCTCGCTGTGGTTCCGAGAATACCGGAGAAGTCGAAGCGCTCAATGCTGTCCGTGATTCCGGCAAGGAAATTCGCTTACCAATTCGACGGAATTTTCGGAAGAGATCCAAATTTCGAGTAACTATCCAGATTGTCGGGAAAAGATGCAGATGTTTTCAAATATGCTGTTGTTTCGAATGCCGATGTTGAGCGATCTTTCTCCATGTACAAGAATCCTCCCTCGGATCGTCGCCATAGATTAACGCCCATAAATCTGAGAAGGCATCTTTTCATTCAATTCAACCGCGATATCCTCTTCGATGAATAAAGTGACGAGTCGGGTTTCTTCCATTCTCTAACGCTCCTGATTCCCTTCTGGTCATCAAACTTCAAGCGTCCGGTTTTTTGTCCGGTTCAGGCCTCGATGTCCGTCCGAAAAATGTCCGGTTTTTCCCGGATAAATGTCCGGGTAAATGGAAACTCTACTTATTAGGGAATCGGGGTGTCGCACTCAATCGTTCGACTTCAAAATAATTGCGAGTTCGACTGTGTTTTATGTTCGATGACACAGATCCTATCTAGCGAAGAAAACATTGGACAATACTTGCTTGGTATATGACTCCCTTCGAGAAAGTAATGTTGCGCTCGAGCGTCAGGGGGTTCAAGACTTCAATTAGCTGTTGGCGCGTCTTCATTTCTCTTATGATTGAATCGATGAACTCATTGAGAACGAGCAGGTTCTCGTCCCCACTCACAGCGGGGAAATATGGGGAATCTGAAGCAAAAATGATTCGGAAATTGAAACATGCGTCGGTCAGCGGGCAATCGTACGATCGCCAATCGCAGGACAAAGATTGGCCCCGGATTCCTCTTTGAGGACGCATTTCCGGGCAGAGCCACGTTCGTTCAGGGATCCCGTAGCGCGGTTCAGACAACGGATTTCCACCTCATTGCAACTGTCAGCTCGGATTAACATTAACAGCGATAGGAACAGAGAGGTGATTCCGAATTCGCGAACGAAGTGTGGTACATCGCCATGTGTTTCAGACTCACCAGGATCGCGTGAGAGTGGGGAGACTTCCCCGAAGGAAGTCAATATATAGATCAGGAAGAGGGTTTTCATGCTGAAAGACTTCTCTTCCATGAAAACGAGCGAAGCAATCGCCGTCACCCTTAATGAAGAGCTGTGTAAGTTGCTGAGCCCGTCGTGGGGAGATGCTGGTTCAAGTCTGGTTCACTTGAGCGGTAGGGTGGTAGATGAGACAGATTGCCCCCAGCTCCGAGCTCCGGATAGCTCAGCGCACCATTCAAGCATTTCACGAGCTTAACAATGAATTAGAGTCATTTTCCACTGCAGAGACACTCTTCTCGTCTCCGTCAACATTGCTATCTCCGAATTTGATAACGGAGCTGCCGACATAAACAGAACGCTCGCAAGATACCTTCGTAATCTGAGAGCGGTTGTATTGCGAATTACGGTTAGCAGCCGGCGAGAGATCAGAGTCGGCATTCGATTCCGGCTAATATATGTATTACCATTCACGTCCTGGAGAGCTCTCCCCAGGCGAAGATTCGATCGGGTCAGAGCATTCAAAAGCCGGGCCGAAGCCCGTGGCCTGCTGGAGCACTCTTTTTACGGATACGCTGCGGACGATGCACGGAAAGTTTTCCTCGAGCTCCACTGAGTCCTTTGAGAACACTAGTCTTCGAATGAAAAATGGTCGTCAGGTCTCTTCGAACCACCGGCGTCCGCAAGACGTGTCCAGTCAGCTCGATGATGCTGCGGTCGAGATGAGCCGAGCTGCCGCGCAAGATCTTTTCTAGCATTCAGAATATCCTCACAGCGTCACAGAGCTCTGACGTCAATTGGGGGATCGGATCTTAAGCACTCGGAATCTTGGCCGGAGAGCGAGAGCGCAGTCCGGGGAAAGGTAACGAACAGTCACCTTGTGGGGATGCTTGCTCACAGCAGAGACGGCAGAGCTCCCGACGTGAGCGTCTATCGGGATGAGCATTCCTGCCTTATGAGGGCAGGAAACACCGGTACTAAGTCCCTCGAACGCGAGGATGGGCAGCAGCCAATCGGCACACCTCAGCAGCGATACCTACAAGCACAAATGTTACAACGGGGCCAGGTGGCTATAGAAGATGGAGTGTCGGAGCTACCTGCTTTTTACCAAACGACGGGGGTTGCTCAAGGAGACAACTTATCCCCGCTGCTGTTCTCAGTTCTTATAAGTGACCTTCCGAGTGCAATACGCGAAGCGCACGACATTGTTGACACCTTATTGTAAGCCGACGATGCCGTGTTATTTTCTCGATCCCGCGTTTACCTCCAGAGAGCGATGACCACGCTTCAGAGGTACTCGGAAGAGAATGGGCTAACGATCAATGTCAACAAAACAAAAGCGATGAAGTTCGGCTCAGGGGGTCCCCCGGTCTCAGGTGACGTATTCAAAGTTGCGAATCAGAAAGTCGAGACCGTGAGTCACTTCTGCTATCTCGGAATAGCGCTAAACAGGGACGGTGTTGCGGTCTCCAGGCATATTAGAGATAGACTGAGCAAGGCCAGGCGAGCGTTCTGCTCGATCCCAAAGCCCTGGGAGCTATCGGTAAGCACCGCGCTCGCACTGTTCCAGTTGAAAATCGCGCCTATGGTCACCTACGGGATTCAGGAAATCTGGAGCTCTTTCACCGAGACGCACTTTGACTCGCTCGACAAGATCAAGGCACAGTTTCTGAAGGGCATGCTCGGAGTTCATCGCACAAGCAGAAATAGGTTGGTGTACAAGATGACAGACACTCCTCTCTTCGTCGAAGAAATCAGAGCGAATTTCAACCTTCCCCGAACGCCGGCCTTCGAGCTACACTGTGAGGCATGGTCCATCAAGATGGAATCCATCCCTTATAAGTTCTACGAGAACCCGGCGATGACCACTGAGCATTGGAAGGAACCGAAATTCAAAACCGTCACAGGATTACGAGAGGGTCGATCCACGGCTTCCACCACCTCATCTGCATCAGACCTCACTACCACGACGTGAGCGAGCAATGCCTATGCTCTTTATGCGGACGATCATGCGGGGATTACCACCTATACGAATGCGCAGCTAGGGAGAATTTCGATTGGACTAGGACGTGACACTGTGATACTGCACATTTAGCTTGCTACAAGTCAAATACGCCGAGTCGGCAATAAAAGCAATTTGCCTAATCGATACCTACAAGCGACGAGACAGGAAATTCGGAAAAAACGTTGCACTCCTTTATCGGGAACCATCTGATTCGGAAATGGACATACAAAGTATAAAAATAGGCAATGAAATTAAATGATGAAGTATTGAAATTAGTTAAAAACCACCTTCATACCCAGAGTCCATGATGATGGCCCCTCCTCGAAGGCCTGCATTGCCGTAAAAGTCATGCATGGATTTGATTCTATGGATGAGCACCTGACGGAGTCAAGAGGAAGCTCACTCTGCGTCGAGGGACCAACTCGTCTCAGGAGACCTATCGACCATCCAATAAAGTTAACAATATCCGATGAAACATGTCGGTAATGATCCGATTGTCGTACATCATGCCGCGCATGCACTGACGTACCGAGATTGAATGGATGCATGAGCGATGCCTAGAGGGGGAGCGCTCTGCCAAGGAGAGGGTCTCCAAAATATTGTAGCATTCTTCTCCTTCCACAATTGAAGTACATGTAGCTCTGCATACGATTCTGAAAATTTCGTGCGGATCTGACGAAGGATGACCGAATTTAGTGCGCGCGCCGTGTCGGACAGTGTTACAGCGCGAAGTTCAGAGTAGTTCTAAGAGCACGGCAGCTCAAAACCTCGTCGACGTGATGCAATGGAAGCCCTCTTGGAGAAAGCATCCTCCGTGTCGGGTAATATAACCCTCTACATCGACCAGGTCAGCCCTGCCGGTCCAGAGAAACTACGCTCCGCCGTAGAGAATCATCGATTCTGATCTGAGATTCTCTCCAGATTCGACTCGAGAATTTTGGGAAATTCCGCGATAGAACGTTCGATTTCCAACAAGGCACCAATTTCATCGGTGAGCCATACGATAGTCCGGATTTCGATTGCTGTAGTCCCGCAATACTCTATGCCGGGCTGGGTCTTATCGAGCGCTCGAATAGCTGGAGATTGAATGAATGGAGATCAATCGACTTCCAGAAGGGAAAAATGGAGCAGGGAAGACAACACTCCTTAAAGGTGAATCCGTCATTCTCATCCGTCGCGATCCTTCGATCGACCCTTTCCGATGGCTTTGGCACAAAGAATCAGATTTGGCTTCTCCAGAATTCCAGAACCGGGGTTAACCGAGAACCCGAATTCTTACAGCTATCGAGGTTCTCCTGTGGCCCACTCAGAGCGCATCCTGTTCGTCGCCGACAGCGCTCACGGAGATTTTCCCTGTACCTGCAGGAGTTTCCGAGAGTCGAAGTTTAGTCACCGTAAGGGGGAGAAAATTCTCCCGGATCATACCCTTTCCGTCTCAGGAACCAGAGCGGGACAATACATGCGGAGACGGAATCTCTATTCTTTCCTGTTGTATTTAGGGCATTTTTCGAGAGATACATCACGGAGCGGATGGTGGAGGAACCGGACATACCCTGAAAGTTGCCATGAGTAGGAAGGATGGCGACACATCGATCACGTTCGACTGGGATGGAGATCCGAAATCAATGGCACAGCAGCGTGCGATCTTCGCGAAGTTTGGCTTGCGAAGCGAATCAGTTTTCTTTCTATCTCATGAGAAGGTGATCATGGGTAGATGTTCGTCGCAAGCGACATCTGTGCTCGAGGAATCGAGTGAGACGAATCGGCATGACTAGAATAGAGAGTCTTCGACGGCAATTGTGACATTTTGCGCTTGCCACGATCAGATACGACTTTATGGCGCGTGGCCGTGACTCTCCATCTCCTGGTATCCTGCGATGGAATTTTCTTTGCTCCTCCAGATTGTCACCGGCAAACTCAATCTGGCGGATATGTTCTGCACAGCGCTCGACGAAGCTCCTCCCTTCCAGCAGATCAAGAGGAATGTCGAATGCTTGGATAGGCAAGGTCCCTCCTTGTTGGAAGAAATCGAGCTCCACAATTTGACATCGGAATCATGCCGGATGTTCGAGGTTGGACCTGCTCACCTCTAATCTAGACAGGCGGATGCCGATGTGAATCGACCTCGGGACCTTCGGTTGAATTTCTTGGTTCTAGGCAAAAATTGAGTTTCTCCTTGGTCAATCCGGCGATTCCGCCCTCGAAGATCGCCAGAGAGAATTGAAGCATCTAGTCAAGTTCTCGAAAGTCACCAAACTCAAAGAGGAAGCCAAGCATCTCGGAGAGGACATCAAGTCATGGGAGGATCAGCTTCAGTCAGCGAATCGGAACGAAGAGCAGAGCAGGGGCCCGCGTCACCCTGAATCGGTTGATCATGAATTCTATCTGCGGACCTTCCAGAATGAGCCTGAGCGATCAGACACCCAGATGGGTTTCTTCGCACGGGAGTTTCGGAAATTAGTCAGATCCTTCTTGAATATTCCCAGGCAAAAAGTTCAGCCTCCTCGGATTCCGGTCCCCACGAAAAGGGACTTGCTCGTCATCCGCTCGAGTCCATCCTCGGAGAATGGCGGCGGCTTCTCAAGGAAAAATCAGCTCAGCACGGTCAGCTGGAAATCCTTCTGAGGACATCGCGACCTGCTCACGAAGGCGAGAGTAGGTTGCTTCTTAGCGCCCTGATCTCTTCTTTCCAGCTCTGTCGGACATTCAGGAATTAGGTGCGAGGAGGGCCGATTCCCATTCCAGGTGACGACGAAGGAGGCCTGGAAATGAAGAAATTGGAAGTCTACAAGCTCCAGAGGAAGCTGACCTGGCTCGACGTGCTCATCAAATCGATCAGCTCCTCGTTAGGAGGCAAAGGATCTCAACGGATATCTAGAGATGATGGGCGGAGCCTCTTGAATGATTTGGAGCATAGAATCGACTCAACAAAGACTGAACGCGCTCTGGCAGAATGCGGACGGCGAGAACTCGATAGCGCATACAGAGAGAATAAAGATCGCCTGCAGAGTATTTCAGCTATTAAAGCGGCTTCGGAGGCAGAGTTGGCAGAGAAAGAAGTGAAATTCGGTTCGCTCCGCCATTCCGAGAGTCTGAAAGAGCTCGAAATCGAGAAATTGAGAGAGCTGCACTGGAGGTGAGTTTCGACCGGAATACATTCCTCGCTCACGCTTCAATCGTGGAATTGCCTTCTTGTGTTCCTCGAATACTCCGAGTCTGAGCTCCGTCCCATCCCATTCCTGGGCAACTCCGGAGAGCTTTTCCTTTGCGACTCCTACTTTTCCAGCGGGCACGAGTTCGACTGCTTGGAGATGACGCTGAATTCTTCCTTGCTACGGAACCATTCGTACATACTTCGATCGACAGAATCCATCCTTGAGGTTCTCGGGGTCCAGGATCGGTCTGGCTGGCACGCTTTCGGCTACTTCGGCACAGTCCTCGACCACATCGACACTGATCCGGATAATCGCTCTCTTCTGCATCCGCTGAAAGATTTGTGAGTCTTCCGATATCATCCGCGTAATCGAGCTCTCAATCCATCATCTCGATTATCATTTGACCATTTTCTCTTGCGTTTGTGATGATGAGATCTCTGTAGGGATCTGTAGACTTTCGAGCACGGTGGCAAACTCGTATTCTGAATTCCGACTCTCTGTATTCATTATGCGCAACCTGGACGCTGCCCGGGAAATGCGCATCGGTTCAATCCCAGAACTCAACATCTTGCTGTATTCCACAGGCTCTCAAGCTTCCTAGTTCGCGACCAAGAAGTAGGTTGGAAAATACGCAACGAGCTCAGAAAACTGGAATTCTGCGATAGCGTACGCTTCATCAGCGTCGGCGGCTGGAAAGCATCGAAGGGAAGACCAGACCGTCGCCCTGAAGATACCGCATCACTCTCATCTTTCCTAAAAATCAGGGTAGCCCTGCCCTTGCAATCCCATCATGATGCCTAATTCATTCATGCTGTCGACTTCGTCGATCTTCGAGGAGCTGGGATATCCTACATTTCCTGGGATATCCGGGTCGTTCCAGGAACCGTACCGCAAGATATATTCCGATGAAATACTCCGATCCGACCTCCGAAAAATAATCACGGAAGAGCTCGCGGATTATTACGTCATTCCCGGAGATCGCGCGCAAGCCTTGGAGTGCGCACACCGATATTCGATGGTACCTGAATGGGATTCCTGCACTTTCGTGATCGAGGATGGTGAGGCAGTCTAAACGGAGGAGGCCCGATGGACGATCCGGAGGGATCGTCAGTTCGCCAGCATAATATGCGTCCCAGCCCGATTTGAGTGTTCTTGGAGATTCATTTTATAGGAACTTGTTCCGGCCGATATCCGATGGGGGCTGCCTCCGGAGAAGATCCGATCGTCGCATATGGAGCTCTCTGCGCTTACTGGGACTCGCTGAACGATCGGATCGACAAGCTGCAAGTCGAGTCAGATGGTTTGATGGGAGCTGCGCGGAATTACAGCGAGGAGATTCTCCAGTTGCGGTGAGTTCCGGACGGACGTCATTGATGAAACAAGCTGTAGAAAACCCTAAAGAGCTCCCCTCGTAAGATCCATATAGGGTGAAATAAACCCTGATGGCCAATCAAACCCTTACATCGAAGGAATTATGAATTTTTTCTCACCCGGGACCTTGATTCTAGACGCAGCATCCAAGAGCAGTCGCGAGCGATGGCCAGTGTTCAGCTCGAAATTCAGAAAATCGAAGCGACAGCCGGGTGTCTCGAATGCGAGCTTTCTGAGCTCGACGATGCCTTGATTGGTCTGGCAGAGCAACTCGATTGCATCGCGGTGGCGCTCGGAGATGGAAAACCATATACCCTGAGACTCGAGCTCCTCAATCAGCTTGAGCGCCTCGGCGAAGTTTTCGAGCTCGTTCGAGAAAACGTGAGCGATGAGTTCGAGAGGTTTCGGATCGACCCTTGCCGAATAATTGGGATATTCCGGAGCCATTCATATTGGTTTGTTTGTTTGTTGGTTCATTTTTGTTTTTGATTTGTTTGTTTATTGGTTGTTCTCGTTTCAAGCAACGTCGAATCGACGACCAGATTTGCGCGACGATCTCCGCACTTGCGAACTCCCACGTCCAAGAGACTGCGCAGGACACCGGAGAAGTTGTCTCGAAAAGCTTGAAGTACGAGATATCCGAGCTCGAGTCAGACATCGCTTCGATGGAGAGCTTTGTGGCAGCGGCGCGTCGTGACGAAACCGAATTCGCTGCAAAAGATGGATCAGAGGGGCACGACGCCGCAGACCGACCGAGGCTACCCGAATCGGGAGAGCAGAGAGAGACCATTGAGGCACGGACCACGTTGTTCCTGCTGAGGAAGAAGCTCGGAGATGTCCAGGAAAAAGTCGCAGCTTTCGGCGAAATGGATCGTCCACAGAATTGGAGCGATCGTACAAATTATGAGGAAGAGCTCGAGCAGGTGACCAGGAAGTTGAGGGACAACGCAGGTGTCTGGGTCCCCGATCGTCACCATGAGCAGTTGGATGGTCTACTGCGGAAAGCTCCCAAACCCCGGCTCGTATCCGAGGGGACAATGGAGACGTTGTCGCGAATCTTCGATGTTTCCCGTGAGAAGAATTGTCTCGGAAAAATCGAGGAAGATGCGGCAGACCGGGTGTTGGAAGGTTTCCGGGAAAAATTCCTGCAGCTAGCTCCGAGGGGAGAGATCCGCATCTCGGAATCTTTCAAGGTGAGCATCATACGACGCAAACCAGAAGTTCCAAACAATGGATTTCACGGAGTCCCGGTACACTGACGCAGCGCGAGAGGGTCCCTCCCGATGAAGTCACCGATGGGTCTCATTTTATGTCATTAAGGGCTCACCCCAATGGCACCCTGTGATCAGTTACGACTGTATATCTTGTTCTGAGTGGAAATATCGATGCTCTGAGCCTTTATCAAAAGAGGAAGGTCGGTACGCTCCAGGGCGCTGCGGTACCAAGGATTCGTATCGAGTTTCAGGATGAGCTCAGATGCGGACTTTCGCAGTCTTCGAGGAAGGGAAGGAAGAGACGGAAGACGGCCAGGCCGTGCGGCTTGGTTGAGAGCCGGCACGGTATTCTGGTGTCTTTCAATTCCGCTGTTTGTGAACCCAGACCGCCTAATTCGCTATCGGGTAAGCTCTAGTCCGTTTGACAACATCGTATTCCGATGGGCACCGCGAACGTCCGCGAAAAATAAGAGATTCTCGATTCAGGTGGAGAAAAAGCGATCTTGGCACTGTCGGCATTTGTTTCGCCAGCGGTGTTAAATGCGCCACGGGTGCTTTCCTTCGATGAAGTGGATGCTGCAATGGATTTTTCAGCTCAAGCACAATTCACGAGTTCGTATCCCTAAACGTGATCGAGATGAGTAGACCTCATTGCAGCTGTTCGGGATATCTGCGTCGATATTAGCGTTGCGACTTTATTCAAAACAGGATTTTTGAAGACCTTCAACGCCGATTGCCAGATTTTCATCGTCAGCCACAGAGGTCTCGGTGACTCTCTCGAGCCAAATCAGCGAGTCCTCATCTAGGCGTTGTAAGTGGGCCAAATGTTGATTCCTCGATTCTTTGAGCGGCGAACGGAAGCTCCTCGGAAGCACGAAGCCGTCGTGCCCTCAGATGAAAGAAACATGTGCATGCCTCCTCACCCTGATAATATATGAGGAGGCATTCCTAACGGAAAGTCGCTTAATTGAACCCTAAGGCGCGAAAGAGTGACTCCTTGAAACCCGCAGTCAAACTTTCAGCGAGAAACCAGCTTCGACGTCTCCCCTGCCCGTGATTTGACCAGCTTTTGTTCGCGGATCAATTTCAAGGCAGGTGCAAGAACAGCCCAAACCGACTTCGTCGCGGCTTCCGGAGTTGAACTCGCGTCTCAGTTCTCAGTGGAGTACATCACGAGCAAGCTCAAGCGAGATACCCCTACAATAGTAGCTATGAATGGTACTCCGAGACGAGAAGCATGGCGTGAGCGGGGTGAGCATCTCCGGGTTCTGCGCGGATGACACTGTCTCAAGTAAACCCTCGGCGCTGCTCGATATCTTATGGAATCCAGCGAGACTCACCGGTATCTCTTGTTTTCAGGCATGTAATTCGAGTTCTGATGGGGGCTCGTCAGCAGGCGGGCCTGCATATTCCAACGCTCTACCTGAACGACTGCTTACTGGAGTTGCAAGCATCGAGTCGTCCACCAATTGTGCACAATTAGTCGGTTCCGCTGACTGAAAAATGATATTCGATTTCATCCCGCTCATTCTTACACTTTTAAGCTTCTTAGATCACCCGACAGCGAGAATCTGCATCTGTTGTTTGTGAAATTTCGGTTATATGCCCACATTTGATGCCAGAGCGGGATTTTACGCGGAGATATATAAGAGATAATATAAAGGCGTTATAGTTAGCGACCGAGAGAAGTTATCATTGCGATTTCTCGAACAACCTACGCTCGCCTTGTGGATTCGACGACATACGTTTCCGAAGCTCTACTGGCGCTTTTCTATGGATTCCAAGCGAAGGCTCCACGAGCGCCCGTAGAGCAAGACGCCGATCGACTTCGTTCCAGGATGGATGCCGCGGGCGGCGGAGCACAGCTTAGCAATGTCTGGGCACGGAATGGGAAGAACTCTCGATTTGGTACGGTATCGGTGCATCATAAGCTCTGCGAATGAGCGCTCTCTTGGAGAATCGCCGCTGCAGAATTATCCACAGCCCTCACATGCACATGCGCTTGCTCGCTCCCCCTGCTCTGCCCGTGACCCTCATTGCGGCGGGAAACCTGGGAAGGACCGGGTCTATCCATGATGACCTCAATCGCGGAGCCTAAGGCTCAATGAATCTAAGGTGTCCCTGGAATCGCGAGTCTGTGCTCCGTTATACGTAGAGAGTCATCTCACTCGTCTCCTTTCACTTTATTCTCCTGATCGATTCAGAATCTGTCAGCGAGTTATGAATAAACCATTCCATTCCTTAAGGAGGAGTTTTCCGAAATTCTGTCCGATACTGCGGCGTCGTGATATACAGGCTCCGGAGTAATTTATTTCGACAGCCAATCTGTCCGAGAGTCTGCTGTCGGCACCGTTGTTTTTCCCTCGGGTATTAACGACTTTCGAGCATCGACTACGTTACGGAGCATTCTTCGTCTTTCTCGCATGCTCCAGAACTGCTGAATTTGCAGAAGTCGATTATGAGAAAGACTATCCCCTCAATCATCGTGCTCTTAGTGTATGTTGATCTCTCTGCAGGTTAGTGAGGACGGAATTCTCGAGGCTTCGGCTCGTTTTCTTCCGGTGGGCGTTTCGAAATCATATTTCTGACTCGACTTGGGTCTTTGCCTGCGCAGAAGATCGACGGCAGCTCGGGGGAGGATCGAAACCCAAGCGGGATCCGTTGCGTGCCTTCAATCCCTGGTTTCCGGAAGCGATCGCCCCGCGAGGAAGGCAAGCGGAGAACGAAGATGTTGTTTCGTATCCCACGACTGAGCGACCGAGGGCTCGCGAGGACTTGAACCCGATCTTCGACAAGCTATTGAAAATCGCTGAAATAGCCGATCCCCTCGTTCCGAACATGAACATCAGCCAGATGGGAGTGGACATTCAATTGGTGAGTCGAGTAAATGAGTGAGCACGCTCAAAACTCGTTCTCGCGATCGAAATTTTCACGAAAAGACACTACATGAGCGTTTAACCCGGCCAGAGATGGATGTCAGGACTGAGTACGGTCAAAAGATCGAATGATGTTCTATACTACGACAACTACGGACCTGATACCAAAGCCATCGAGTTCAACGTTCGTACGAAAGATGTGCGAGTTTACCTGACGTGAGTGCACCAAAACCGCTCCCCGTCTTCCTCCCCGCAAGGGTTTCTTCGTCATATCCGGTGACAAGAGTTCTAATTCCCCCGTATCGGGGTCAAACAGCTACCAGGTTGGGACTTTTTCGTTTTTCTACACTTACTCGTCCAACGGCTCCGTGTACATGGACGAGATCGACGTCAGAGCACGGTTCGCCTTCAATACTAAGACTAATCATACTACGTTCGATACGCTGAAGGTTCGTATCCGCCCCGCTGGCGCTAGATTACAGCGCTGAGACGATATTCAGCTCGGAAGATCCGATGCTGAAGATCTCTTTTCTCGGGAGGTGTCAGCATATGGGTTCGACGCCTTGTGATAGATAATAAACTTCGATATTTATTCCCAACAAGATCACGGACCGTACCCGGCTGAGGATGGATCTTAATGCGCCAGGCCAGGATATTTTTACGGGCATCGTTGAAGGATTTTTTTCCAAGGATGTCGACAATAAGGTCGGTGGAGCAGTCTGGGACCTGACGGGTACCACGAGCTGTTAGAAGACATCGGCTAGGCTATGCATCAAAGTTTTGAGCCATCTTCCTCTCCCCTTCAGATACTACCCGCCATCAAGCAAATGATACAGTATGAGCTTTCGCTCGTTAACATACTGGCAGTCCTCGAGAAGTTATCCCCCGGGGCAAACTGAGGCTCCAATCGATCACTGTATACGGTAGGGCTCTCTTCCGAAGACGCATTCCTGAAATTCTGGTGTCGTGAAAGAAAACACCACAGATGCTTGATCGGAATTCAACCCATTTATTGGATAATTTCCGTAAGCTGAATCGACAAATGGAAGCATGCATGATGGATGAACCAGGTGATATACGACCGCAATCATACAGCAGATGCATCATTATTTCACAATTTTTCCAGCTACGCGGTCCATGCCGAAATAATTTCCAGAGTAAGATTCTCGTCAGCCAGAAATTCCACGGAAACGTGAATTCTCCACTATCTGAGAACGCGGAAGCAGCGTCAAATTGCACAGTATGGATGGAAAGAGAGCAATAAATGTCTTGTTCCGCGACTTAAAATTTTCGTGAGTGCGACTAATCGTATTTCTTCGCTACTGACGAGTACTGGTTCGACGACGACTCGAGACAGTTTCGATGGCGCTTCGATTATGTTGCTCGACGTGGCCGTCGTCGGTGACGTATTCGCCGCAGAATATTCCTTCCACGCTTACTTGCTCGCTCGCTCGCCCATTTACTCATAAATAATGATGATCGAAGAGAAAACAATGGAAGGGAAATCATGATGATGACTATCTCGATAATAATATAGAATTTGTATATATGAACTATCTTACAACGATAGTACAGATGAGAATTGACGGCTTTTCCGCTCGCTCCGCATTCAGCCGTGTTTACTCGCAAGTCGATTTGTTACGCCCATCGAGAGATCGTTCCGCGCGTTCATTGTTGATTTCCGTCGGTTCCTTGTCAGTAGTTGACTCCCGTGGATCCTCCTTGGGCATGAAGCCGTAGTAGTCGGGTTGCTGCCGGAAGACAACTGCACCGATGTCTATGACAACTGTTTCACGTCAACCAAGAAGCGACCGAAGCCTGTTCGTTGGCAGTAAATGGCACCTGAGCTGACCGTACCGAACTCGCCTTCAGTTCCTAACTAAATACGATGAATGATTCATCTAGGTCTGCAATCATAAAAACATTAGATAATTGAAATGCACCTCGGGAAGAGCATGTTTTCATAACGCAGGCTATTAGTTCGTGACGGTTCGAGATTAGGTAGCATATCGGAACGCATGAAGGACCTACAGCGAACATAGAAGGATTCTCACAATGGGCAAGCTTGTGAGCGGATGCAGTCAGCAGTGAGCATCACTCACCCGTAGGGGTCGTGATATTCGTGATGATTGGGGTTAATGATGGCTGGTGTAGTATCTTATTGAGAAGCGATGCTCAGCGGTTCCCAGACTTTTCTCTTCCGATCACCCCGAATCACATGGGCTCCGGCCAAGGGAAATACGAGTACTTCGACATCGTCTGACAAGCTCTTGTTCTCGGGAGAAGTAAATGGGACGAACAACTTGGGAATTATGTCCCGTTTCCGGCAGTCGGACGGAATTTCTCCCGTGCCCTAGAACAAGCTTCCCCTCCCCGCGCCCTCCCGAATCGTGATTTCCCCCTAAGAGATACCGCTCGCGCTTCGATTGGATGTGCCCACCGAATGTTCCCGCAAGAGAGGTTGAAGAAAACGTGTGCTCCTGTGTTTGGTGACTGTGGGTTTCCGGATGTCATGATCGCTCAAAGCCAGCCAGTCAATCGACCGAAGGAATATGTGGGTTATGGTTGACAGGTCATGGGAGGAGGACTCAGCCGCGGATTAGTTGCAGGAAAGTTAAAGCGAAACAAAGGCCTCCACCTCGATACCCGCAAGCTGGCAGGGGAATCTCAAGCTACTTGTTGCCTAGAAGCCGCCAATACTGTTCGCCCATTTCGGGTCTCGAGCAACCTACGCTATCAGATGAGTCCGAGTAAGAGTCCGAGTCCTCTTTGTCTGAACCGGTTTTCTGAGATGAGCCTTGAGGTGAATGAGGCGAAGTTAGTTGCACGTTCAGCTGGGGCACCAACGTCACTGGCGGCAACTGAGGCTCCTGCTGGGCTGATCCAGCGATTTTTGTCGGCGAACTTTCAACGACGGGTCTCGTCGGGGCAGCGGAGCTCGCTGCCGTCGCTGCTGCTGCCGCCGCCGCCGCCGAGGTTGTCGTATTTGTTGTTGACACGGTAGATGATGAGATCGGCTCCGATGGCTGCGATGAGACGAAGCTCCCGGGATATTCAACCCATTGGTTGCATTTCATTTCAACCAGACCTTCAGAAAACTGGCTCCGCTTGTTGGGCTTCCCGTATCTCTCCTTCGTCTCGGCGTTCACCGGGAGGAGATCTTTCGCGGTCAATTTCGCTCGCTCGTGGGTACCGTAGAAAAATATGTTGTATTTCACCCTGCGTAATTCGAATACTGGAGTTAGGCTCTGAGCTCCTATGAGTAAATGACATACGAGAAGGCGAAAGAGAAGAAAAAGAACAGCCTCTCGGTGGGAGACTCGCATAACTCACGGCTTCGCATTCGATGCAATCCCGTTGACTCTGGCGGGCCAGAATGGATATCCCTTGACTTTCGCGAAGACGAGTTGCCCGGGGGTATATTCGATTACTTTCTCGGTGCTTCTCTTATTCCCTGCTTGAGATCCGCTGGATCGTTTCGTGATTTTCGCAGCTTTTGGCTCAGTGGTAGACTTTGATGATGTATCCAACGAAGAGTCGTCGGCAGTTCTGGAGAGCAAAATCCGTTCACCTAAATCAAATCCTCGAAGGAAATCTTCCACGACTGTTCTCGAGTTCGGACTTCTTTCGAGGCAAGGCCAAGAATCTCGATCCATGTCGCTGTGGTGGGATTTATTTAGTCTCGAAGTGGCAGGGAATCCGGGAATCTCCTGTCGTCGAATTACCTCATATCCACGGCATCCTTCTTCTGGACGGAATTCCTGCGTTGCGGTGCGTCTTCGAGATAGCGTTCTGGAGCCTTTTTCGGGGGAGACAATTTACGTTTCTTGATGGGAGATGAAAACGCTTCCTGCTCGTTTTTCCCGGTTGGAGCGGCTGCGGCAGTCGAGGCGGCCGCGTCCTCATTCGACGCTGCAGGAGCGTCACGCGGGGGCTCCTGTTGATTGAAACGGATTGAATTACAAAGGGCTGGATCGAAGTGGATTCGTTGCGGACGAATCGCACTGTGGTTCGAGGTTCTACGGCTATCGACCCGGAGTTCCGAGGAGCCGTTCATACCGCTCGCCGTACGTGGCTCGGAAGATATTTCGGAGGTCCCACTGAGAGGTCTCGAACTCTTTCACCTTTAGGATTCCCATATCGATGCATTCGACGGGAGCTTGCGTCGACGAGAACAGAGGATGACCCATGAACGCTTCGGTGTCAGACAAGTCCGGGTCGTCGAGCACTTCACTCCGGATGGCGAAGGAGTCCGTGAAGGGGAACTCGCACCAATCCGAGCACAACGACACGGCACATTCGTGGATCGCCGTAGAGACACGACATTCGATCCCGCCCGTGAGGCTTCCCCATTCGAGTTGCAATTTGATCTTGTGCACGCATCTCAAACAATAGTGGTATCCGAAGACGTCGAGCAACCACGACGAAACAAAGTGTTCACTTAGAGTTTGATCTACGAAAACTTTCACGTAGCGGTCACGGATCAGCCCGATCATTTCAGTGTGGTTTCGCCCTTGTGTCCGAAGGTGGTTTTCCGACTGGAGTATATTACCGAGCATCCGCATAATCAAACGATTGCAGAGCGGCTCCTTTTCGAGCGCGCATGGAATATGCTCTTCGGACGACATCTGGCCATCACAGCTCCAGATTGCGAATGATTCGAGCAATAACCGAAGAAAGTGGCCTGGAGCCCCCTCTCTCGCCGTTTCACTTGCCCCTAGACTCCGGGTTCTCGACTCCGACGCGAGCGCCAATTAGCCCCAGCTCTTGGATTCGAGTACAACTCCGAAAACTAAGGAACACACTCTGACTGATGGATGGCCGCGAGAGGTGGACGGAAGTTGGATGGGTACTCGCATTCACTTACTCGTCTTTTTATGAGCGGTAGGCGGCCCATTTCCGCGAGAGACCGCTCGCTGTTCAGATACTCGTACACAACCGGAACGGCACGTTCAACGACACTGCAAACAGGGGAAAAACTTAGAGATCGATAAACTTGGGACCCTGGCGATCCGAGCCATGATCCATTACGCGATTCCAGCAGCCACAGAGAAGGAGCAAGGACTCACTCGAGCGTAGATTTCCCTTTTTTCGAACTGTCCTCCGCGTCGAAGGCCGTCTCCTGTGAGTCTTTCTTGAAGGAATTAGGTACGAGGATCTCGTCCGATTTCTTATCAGTAGAGATCGTTTTCTTAGTCCCTCCAGCCTCCTGAGAGTCCCGCTTGCTCTCTTTACGCTCGCGTTTTGCGATCGACGCGGACAGCCCCCCCGGAGGAGGGGATCGTCTTTTCGGTGGATCACGCGGCGCTTTCGGTGGCGCTTGTGTTATCTGATTCAATAGGAATTTCGGAAGCTTTAACAGGATAGATTCGTACACAAGATTCTTCGATCTTCATAAATGATTACTTGAGCGACAAAACTCGAACGAAACCTACCGATTCAACCGGTTTGCGTTTACGCTGAGTCGTCGCCGGTTTGACGGCTGGCGTTTTCTTCACCGTCGTGCCAGGGATGTTGAAGACGCAATCAGCTTTGAAATTGGGATCTTTCTGAATGGTATCCATCGCTGAAAATTAATTGGTATTATTCACCGCCCATGTGTCATGAGCGTTAAGGATACGAACCGTCTACTTCAACTGACCTTCCGCGAAGAACTTCCTCTTGATTCTGCCATACTTTTTCTTCGTCTCATCATTGAAGGGCAGTAGATTGCTCATATTAAGAGCCGTCGTTTCGTGGGTTCCAAAGAAATACACGTAGTAAGTGCCCTCGACTTTCGATTCAACTCGAGCAGGCCAATACGGAAAGCCGCGAAGTTTGGCGAACACCAAGGATCCAGCCTGTTCAATGAAGAGAAAAAACGGTAAAGCATCAACAACTCCTGTGGAAAGCGCGGTTGCAGGGGAGATGTATCATTGGGGGACTAAAACTCGTTGAACTTCAATCTTAAATTATTCTGCCAGGATATCCCGCGCGTCTTCGGGTTTTTTGAGCAGTCCCACTGATACCGATGCATCGAAATCTTCGAACAACTCGCTCCGGCCCGGGGGATACGAAAAAACGCCCGCAATACATGGTCATTCTGAGGATTCTTCATGAGCGCATTCCGAGTCGCTCAGCCTACACGATCAAGCGCACACATGGAAAAACCTTTGGACGAGGCCGGGGAGGACGGGCAAGATGGGATGCTGATGGCCTAGCCGTACATTGAATAATTCGGACGGTGGAGTCGTCCCTCGCATCGCTGGAGGATCCGATTCCCCCCGAGAGATTGTTGTATCGGAGGGAGATGACTCTCGAACGCCCGACGGTGGCGGGAGTCTCATACAGCCCGGGAAGCGGTTGTGAACGGTTCCGCGGATTGACTATGCGGGGGACTCGACGTAAGAATGGGAATCGAGTTTCTGGTGGTAAGTCCAATAAGCGTTCGCAACTCTCATCATCCCCATCCAGAGCGGAACTTCCGTCTCTCAATCGTTCTCAAGTAAAGTTTCGAGTTTGCTCTAGAACAGGAACTCGAGAACTCGGCCGAGCTCAGGTACAATGGAACCGTCTACCGGAGCCGAATTTAATGGAGAGTTCCCCAATAAGATAGGCCCGCTACTCGTAACAAGTGAATTCAATCGTTCACAACGAAGAATGACCGGTTCACGCTCTCCAGTGAGGCAGCGTTCAAATAAAGTTTGATGGCGCCAAAGGCGAGTCGGCAACGATCATATTGCCGGAGTGCGATCGAGCTCTGGCGGATAAGCGCGAGCATCGATCAGTCCGATAGGGAAAAGTGATCACGAGGTTCGAATTCAAATGCTGCCTCAGCAGCGAACGCTCGACCATCGATTCGAGAGGTACTTCGATTTACTCCACACTGGTCCGCCGATGTTTCATAGAAGGAGGGATCTATCAACGAAAAAACCAGCGTCCCCGTGGTTGGCCGTGCACTTACCTTGAAGTTTGTATCGTTCTTCGCCATGTTTTCACTGATCCTTGATCCGAGAATAACTTACAACGGCGTTCCACAATGAGTTCCCGCGTATGAGAGTCTCACGCTTGTCGTTAGATCCTCTCCTCACCGCACGGATCCCCACCACAATGATGGCGGTGCCTCTTGCATTTCATGACAGCTCTCCGTCGCCAGAGTTTCCGAGCTTTAGGCGAGCCCACAGCTTCAGCTCATCGGGAGTGCGAACCGCGCGACTGAACTGACGCAGGATTCACGATCACAATTTTTGATTTGACAGACGAGCGACTTCCGCTCCGTCTCGTGATTCACCTGAATAAGACGCTCTCGGGAGCATCGCTCGATTAAAGAAAGTCGAGGAGTCAATGCGAGCATGTGACACCCGTTCCCCAGCATACACGAGCGGGATTCGCTCCCGGAGGACCAGGAGCGCTCCCGAGGAAGCTTTCGTCTGACGATCCCAATCGTTCGGCCCGAAAACCGCACATGAGACGGCAAGCCGGACTTTCCGAATGCGGATTTCCGGCTAAGAGTTCAAATCCATTCCGCTGCTGCCTTCCGCAGATTAAATTCCAACGAGCTTCGTCTTTAAAGACCTGCTCGTGACGGAGCAGGAATAACAGCACGCAGGCAGCCAGCAGCGATTCGATCGCCAACAACTAAAAAACAGCGTAAAGAGTTCCGAGCTAGGCATTTCTATCTTCGCTATTCCCGGCTCAAATAACTCTCCATGGATACCGAAACCCTCATTCTCCGCAAGAAGCCTGTGAAGGGCTCGCAGATGAAAAGCTCACAGGTAGGTATCTGGCGATGAGGACGATCAGTTAGCTCATTTCCTTCCCTGCTCGGAGCCTTTGGCGAAATAAATGTTTCGAATCGCCCCAGCTGCTCGTCACGTATCTCTTCGGGGTCCATCCTCTTCCTTCGATGGGCGGATCTAGAGAATAGAATCCAGAGAATCTCTAGAATCTAGAGAATCAAAGAAGATTGATTAACATCGATTTCTTTAAACTTATCGATTTTCAGGCAATCAACCAAGCGCAGAGAGCAGGACTAGAAATCGAAACCAACAAAAAATGTAATTTCACGCTTCTGGATCAATTGATGAAATAATTCTGGTGAGGTCTCCGATGGGCTGAGAGGACCGTACGGTACAGACCTAGAAATATGTGCCAGGAGACGGTTGACTACAGGGGTTGCGTTCAACTGTTGAGTGCTTCCCCCGAGACTGGGCAAATGTCTCCGTAATCTGGCGATTTCGCCGAGCTGCTCTTCCTGCTTCGCTGTCAAGCAAACGCTCCGTGTATATTTTCATGACTTGTATACTTTCTTGTACCAATCTTTCGAGCTCTCGTGGCTGGAGAATCCAAGCTCACCTCTTGATATTCGGACAGACAACGCGGGCTCCAACAAGCATCCCGGTACGAGCTTGAACGCGGCCAAGTTGGATCGCGAGGACGATGTTCTCAAGCACAAGACCGTCGATCCGGACACTGGGAAACTCATTGCCCAAATTAGGCAGCAGAAGGGTTTGACCCAGAAAGATCTTGCTACCGTGAGTCCTCTACCGCAAATGAACTAAAGACTCTCCCGGATGCGACCTGACTACACTCAGGGAGTCGGGAGCGCCTCATCTAGGGGAATCTGCACCGATTTCTGAAAACGAGTCTCTCTTTGTAGAAAATCTGCGAGAAACCTCAAGTCGTCAATGACTACGAAGCCGGCAGAGCCCTGCCGAATCAGCAGATCCTCTCGAAGATGGAACGAGCTCTCGGAGTGAAGCTACGGGGGAAAGACAAGGGTCAACCTCTGGGAGGACCGAAGAAATCCTGAATCCTTCCATCCGAAAGACATGTTCACCTGCTTGCGATAACTAATATACAGACACAGTTCCATGCAATCTCAGGTTTGCAGTTCTCAGCTGAGTGGAGCTGTCAATTAAAGAGCATATTTCCTGGTTCCCCTATTGTTTTTCATCGACGAATCCAGTGATGATGCCTGCGTGGATTTGCATTGCTTGGGCGTTCCTGGGTCATCCCGTCCAAGCTCGATCGGAGGCTCACAGTGATGGCTCTCCGAGGTCTCAATTGGTGCGGGAAACAAAGAATTCTCCCTGAAAAATATCGGGGACTCATAATCGAGTGACGCCGGAAGCTGGACATCGGAAGATCTGTGAGCGATATACGATCCTCCGAGACACTAGAAGTAATCGGATCCACGAGCGTTGATAGATTCTCCAGGAAAATAATGCTTGGATGCTGCCCCTTCGATTCCATCATTCGGCGGATAGGCGGCCCTCGAAATCGAATGCAGTTGAAGTACGATCTCGATTCTCGGTGAAGACGACGCGACAGACTTTTTTTTTGGGGGACTTCCATTTGACCGGATTGAATCTTTGGAAGCGAGTGGGTATTTGAGCAGAAGAAGAGGTCCTCAAGCTGTAGGTTCGATTCCGTGGAACTGTTTTCCCAAGGACTGGTAGTGATAGAAGAAATCTGTGGACCGTCACCCAGGCTCAAGTCTCAGTATTCACTTAGGTATTCTCGGGTGGGTGAAATCATCGCGCGTTCGGTAGTCCCGACACAGGCACTGTACCGAAGGCGTGAAAGCACATTCATTCCGAACTATGCTGGTTCCGAGCCGAGACTGGAATTATACGGGAGGAGGGGTCGGTCGAGTTTGCCGAATCTTTCAATTGCGAGGTCCCTCAAAGAAGAAACGATAACGACCTTCCTAACTCTGTTATTCAGAGTCTGTCCCATTCATTGGTCGATCCGACAAGGCCTACCAATGACCCGTGAATCAGTTAGGATCCTGAGTCGCCGTCATCTTACTCAGCGTAACCTCGGGCTGCAACGACGGCGGTCGACTGCTTCTATGCTACTTGGGACTCTGTGTACAGACGTCCTCGACACTATTGTGCGATCCACAGAGAAGTCGGTCGAGTTGCGCAAGCGTCGGAGCACGTGGGTTTTCTCCGAAATCTCAACCAGGTGAAGCTCGAATGGAATGGCGGGTCTTCGGAGCTCTGCGGTTTCGGAGCTATCTCCGACATTGATGCATGAGAAACAGACAGCTATGCATGAAAGAGAAAACCCCATGACACCGCTCCATTCGTCGTAGCGCTCAATACTCATGACAAGAGCGATTTTTCTCAACTTTCCCCTAACTGACAGAATCTTTCGTCTGACATTCTTCAATCTTCCGCTGCGAGCGAAAGCCCTCAGCTCTACTCATGGGACCAACCCACTGGTTCGAACGCTTCGCTTTCGGATGACCGAACAGTAAGCTTCGGATCACAGAGAATCAAAATACTAGCTTCGGGTCGACCGCACGTCCCATTTTTATTCAAATCCTCCACGGTTTTCATTCTTCTGCATCGATCTGCTCAATGAGAACGAGAGAAGGCACGACAAGGAATAAATTAAAAAAGAAATTTCGGAGACACGTTCTTCGCATCTTGCAACGATTCAGGCCGGGCGTAGATGAGGGAATCATATTCCATGGGAATATCACTGCGGTCGTCGAACCTGCTGCGGTTGAACCTGTGCAGGTTTCGGCGGCGTTTTCGGCGGCTGTTGAGGCTCGTCTTCGTAGTCATCCTCGTATTGCGGTTCAGCGTGGCCGGGGGGTTTCGGCAGTTTCTGAAATAAAAACCGAGCGTCGACTAAGATGCGGAGTGAATTAAGTGAAACAGAATCCGATTCTGTGGAGAGGCCATCGGCTCCGCTATTTCAGGGACAAAGATATATCATAGACATGAAGCCCAAGTTTGTTGGAAGGTGTGCGCAGCACCACTACGAATCTTCCCGCCGCACTTCGCCATTATACTATTCCATCTAGAGAATATAACGAAGAGAAGAGATTGACACTGCTGCACCGCTTGTTCACGGTGGTTCACATTCCAACAGGTTATGGGCCCAGGCCACCATGTGTGAAAGAGTCGAAACATTGAGGATAGAATGTTGACGAAGGCTGTGCGAGTGCCTATGCGAAATCAATAGGAGTGAACCGAGTGAAAAAAAGAAATTTCCTGAACCGCGGCGTGGTGACGGAAAGGAGCCCGGCGGGAGAATGGTCAACGAGGACTCAGAATCGCGTCTGTCTTCGCGTCTGGATGAGTACATCTTCCAACAAGTGACTATGGAGGAAAACACCGCGACAGGCGAAACGGGAGAGAGACACAGGTGGAGGAAGACCTGTGTTGGGTTGATATGTGTTCAGAAAAGATCTACTGGAGTGTAGAACTGTGAATGTACGAATCCCGAGAATGAACATGGCGTGAATGCACGACTAGCTGGAAAGCGATCGACACGATATTCAAGAGAGCGTGTCGATGATGGTTGCTGCTGGACTCGATGAGAGCTAAAGACAGCTAAAGATCTCGTATCGAGAAAGCTCTGACTGTTGTCTTCGATGAGCACACCATGGTTTCGTCAATCATTTGGCAAGAATCTGAAGGAGGACCGAGGCTTAAGGTAGCGGGTCCGGTGGACAGCTTGAGAGGACCGATGCTTGATGTAGCGGGTCCGGGCGATGAGATGAGCGGACCGATGCTTGATGTAGCGGGTCCGGGTGATAAGATGAGGGGACCAATGCCATGGGTGGCGGGTCAGGATGAGAGGCCGATGCCATGTGTGGCAGGTCAGGATGAGGGGCCGATGCCATGTGTGGCAGGTCAGGATGAGGGGCCGATGCCATGTGTGGCAGGTCAGGATGAGGGGCCGATGCCATGTGTGGCAGGTCAGGATGAGGGGCCGATGCCATGTGTGGCAGGTCAGGACGACGGAAGACCAATGCCTAATGTGGCGGGTCGGGAATTGGTCGTGATGAGATGGTCGGTCGAGATGATGAACCCGTGCCATGTGTGGCAGGTTCAGATCAGCTGAAGGGTCGAAATGGGACCCAATGCCATTTGAGGCATGTTGGAATGGAGCATCGAGCGATGGCTGAGGCACGGCTCAATTGCCCGCCAGCCTTTTTCGGAACGCAGACGGAAACGCTGGAAGCGTCGTTGAGAGCGCTGGGAGCGCAGATGGAAACGCTGGGAGCGTCGAGGACGCTAAGAGCGGAGATGAGAATGCTGGGAGCGTTAGTAGCGCTCGGAGCGCGGACAAAGGCTGCTCGGGAAGCGTCGGGAATTCCAGGAAACTGGATGGGGACTCGGGGAGCACAGGAAATATCCGACCGTGCCGGGGTCAGGACAGAGATCAAAGTCAGCGGAACACCGAGCTGTCACTACCCGTCGATTATACAAGACCAAAACTGGGTCGCGGAGTGCTGCGGAATGCCAGAGAACTTCGCGAGCGATGGGAGTACTTCAGATAAGTAGAACCTAAGTTGAGTTTTCTTCGAGGGTGCCTCATCCACCTTGAATGGGAGCTCAGGTTTTGAAGCAAGGGGGAGCCTTCGAGATCGCGCTCCACTTCGAAGGATCTTCGTGGTTCTGCGCAAGGGGGAGTGTTGGAAGGTGTGCGCAGCACCACTACGAATCTTCCCGCCGCACTTCGCCATTATACTATTCCATCTAGAGAATATAACGAAGAGAAGAGATTGACACTGCTGCACCGCTTGTTCACGGTGGTTCACATTCCAACAAAGTTATGGGGTCATTGCTGACGCAGTGCGGTGGAATCAAGTTTGCTCTTATAGACGTTGATCAAAAACATCAGGGGAAAGATAAAGAGTTCCACTCGTCAGCGTTTCTAATTCTGGCGCGTGGGGTACTTCTTCCTGCCGACATGTAGTGAAAGTGATGACTGATGGCGAACACAAGGCAGATCTTCTCGTCTGTTCTGAGATATTTTGTGTAGGCACGTATGTACATCGGTCGTGGCAGGCCGAAAATTCACGGGAGCCGCGGAATAGAGCGGGAATCGCGAAATCGTTCGATGATTTTCCTTAAGGGTGGTGCCCGGGACGGAATCGAAAGGTCACTCGGTAATTATCCACCGAGTCCGGTGGCGCATCAGTCGAGAGCTTGCCGATGGGCCGATACTCTAGCCCCTTTTTCGTTCGGTATGGACCTAAGCTAAACTCACGTCGGCTAGATGCTCGCAGCCCTCAACTTTCGCCGCCCATTGGCATCCAGATGTTATGGGATCGAAGGCCAAACCGGGCTGGCACTTCAACACTTTCACTTTTCCCTTGTCGCACTGGTAGAACTCGTCACAAGTTTGCGGCCATTTCTCGTGTCGGTAATATCCATTGGCTCGCGGACAATGCAGGGATGTTTTGGCTTGTTCTGAAACGTAAGACATAGTTTCTCACCTCTCCAATGAAACACTCCGGGTCCAACCCAATTAATTCCAGGATGCAAGAGTCAAGCGATGGCTTGCAGTCAGAATCAGAACTTACGCAAATATGGACGGTCTGAGCAATCGACGTTGGTGATGACATCGCATTTGGCATAGAGCGGGTTGTGAGCCCAGATAAATGCCATACCGTCATCACACAGCTTCTGTTTGGGTACCCCATGTCGACACTCGTAGTATAAGTCGCACTGCTCTTTATCGGGATAGTATCCGTTTTTTGTAGGACATTTGAACGATGCTTGAGCTGCGGAAGAAACATATATGATGTGAGAACTTCCACCGGAATTATACTCTCGACGCTTATCGAAGAATTGAGTCTAGTTACCAAAAACACTGGTTGCCAGAACCGCCAACGCAGCAGGAACTAACGCCAACATCTTGAAGCCAACTGCAGCATAGGCAAGACAGCAGCTTGCTTTAATAAAACTTCCTTCTCGCATCAAAGAAAGCGAGCATCTTTCCCGTCAGATCTGCGGCTCCATCGGTGTTTACACAAAAAGTGCGTGAATGCCTTGTCTCCGTTCTGCTTATCATGAGCGTATCTCGGAAGCGACTCTCTTGAACTCTCTCTGCCCGAAAAGATCCTCTTCCGTCGAGGGAGCTTGCCCTTGTCGAGTCCATTCAACTCATTCTCATGTAGCTCGGCTTGGAACAGGAATTGGATTCAAAATCCTTCTCTCCTGGCAACACCGAGATACGAATCTTCTGCATTGCCCGGTCCTAATGCCGCATTCCCGTAAATAAAGCTCAAACTGCGGAGAGCCATTGTTCTCTTCAGCATGACGAGCATGGCATCGTGTCGGGAATCAAGCGAAGTCAAATTGATTCTACCGGAGCATATCGAATTTTGCCTCTTGGTTCCTGTGGACCTCAGCCCAGGCAGACATATCACCGGACTCGGCAGCTCTTTGCGGGCTCTCGTCAAACGTGGCTTCAGATGTTTCGTGATCAAGTCTCAAGATTTCTACCTACATCTCCATGAATCACTCATTGTTCCTGCCGCCTTGCCCCCCGCCCCCTCACATCGCCCATGAGGGGACGGACCGACCAGGATAGGACGTGAGCGTCCTGAAACTGGTTCTGACTCTGACTTTCAACATCCTGGACCTTCTACTCCGTGCGTCGTGCCATAAGCGAAAGATCTGATTACTGTTGCCCCAGAGTCAGTCGCTGGCGGAACTCGTCGTAAGCTTGTGGTCTGGAGTCTGGGGCGCAGGCTCTGGGCGGATCACCTCCAGGATGACCGCCAGTCACATACCTTGTCAATACTTCCGGCATCTGCTCCCTTACCCACGAGTCAATCTCGCGCGATCGCTCCTGTATTATTCCACTCGAAAAAAAAACATAGAGCTCAATTCTACCTCGACTGTGAAAATCATCGTAGCGCGTTCTCGCTGCTGCGATGATACTCCCAGACGTGCGACTCCATACTCGGATGTCCTACATGATTCGACATAACATGATCCGTCCCCTTCATGTATTTCTCTGAATCAGGTCAGCCTCGAGCGAAGCAAACTTTCGTTCCTCCTTATGGAAGGCTATCGAGAAGAAGGCGCATTAGCCGAAAAACACACAAGCCTGCTTGTCCGTTCGACTTCGTCGTCGGAAAACAAGTTCTTCTCGGCACTTCTCCCTTTGCGGTAGCTGGGACCGTGTGGAAGAAATTGAGACGAAGACGCTGCAACAATTCGATGTTTCCGCGTTTGAAAGTGACTTCGCCTTCTTTGGTTTTGTCGATGACTTTCGGCGACGGCGCGCCGTCGCAATGGAACGACCCGCTACGCTGCCGTTTCACGGAACCACGGATCCACGCAGCTGAAGAGCGAGTCGCTCCTATGGAGCCTTGTGAATAGTAGACCGCCGAGCGGGAAGATTTCATCGAATCGCGCGAGCATAAGTCCCAGAACAACAACAATGGCCGTCGAATATGACCCTCGGATCAGAGCCTAGACTTGGGAACTCATTCGATAGTGCAGAGAGTCCCCTCCCATGATTTCGTTGGATTAAGTTTCTATACTAATATATCCTGATGATTATCGTCACGCAGTGGAAGCCGATATGATGGTTGCATATAGAGAGGAGAATGTACTCAAGTACGATATCCAAAGTCCTTGATTCTTACAAAATTTTAGGCATCGGATATCGCGCTTGAATCAAGTCCCTCTCCGCGAATATTCATCGAAATCGGGTATCTTGAATATGTGACCACCGGATGCAGTCATTCTGCGCGGGCCATGAGCCCGTGATCCCGATTGACGTCGTGGATTATGAGGAAAAATAAGCAATCGATTGTAATTACGCGTAGATTTATTCGATGTCCTGTCATGATGCGCACGTCGAGATCCTCACCGGAACGCTGCTGTCTATCGTCAGGCGCCATAATATAGGTCGCTAATGATACTCCGCATCGCCGAAGATTGACTCAGAAGAAACAGCATAAGTCATATGTACATACCAAGACTCCGAGAGATGGATTATTAGGAACTTACTCGCTGCGCGGCGTCTGTTGAGCCGAGTTCGAGTTCACTCACACCCTGGAAAAGGAACTATTGATGTAGAACTACATCGTACTCTCAATGTGTTGATCGGAAGATAAAGTGTAAGCACCTGTGTCTATTCAACCATCATGCCGAAACTTCACCGAGCCGCGTTCTCATGTCGCACCCAGATTTGGGGAAATTATCACGAATCCCGAATATGGCCCTTGATGTACCCATGTACCTATTCTCAAGTCATGATGACAGCTTCCTTGACACCCGCTCGACAATCGACTTAACGAAATCGGATGGATTTGACCGCGGCAGGATTCCTGGCACGATCAACACCACCGGGATGTGACACCCCATCGAGAAGCCGCACCGGAACTCTGTAGCTGTAGATGAACGTAGAAGCCGCAGATCTGACATGAGCGATCGGACCTGAAGTAAGATGGCTGGATGAATCAAAGAACAGAAACTAAGCTAGCTAATAAACGTGGATCGACCCATCCCTTATTGGCACCCACTCACTTCTCCTCATTCACAATCTCTGATCGGATTGAGGCTGATCGTTCCACATGTACATAGTATGCATACGGGCGGCTAATTGGGTTTCAAGCGGTAGATCTTAAGGATCTTCGAGCGATGCATATGAGAACAAATCGGACCCCGGAGGCTGCTGTTGAACTCCGATACTTGATACTGCCCTATGCGCAGTGAAATCTGATCGTCCTTCTGAGACTCGAATTCCGTCGGCGGCTCTCCTCCGATGTTTTCCGAAGTCATCCGATTCTCCCCAACGATTGCTTAGTAAGTCTCAATAATGGGAAATTCCAACGTCTCAACAGAGCAAACATTTGCAATGTCCCTACGAAATCCGTCGCCCTTGCGAGTAGAGTTAGTGGAGGACTCCTACTCCCGATTCCGGTACTCTAGGGTGCCTATCGTGTCCAACAGACGTGAGCCAGCTCCTCCTCAAGCAACTCGTTTCCTCGTTCCCGCTCGAGGAATCGTTTTGGAGATCTGACAGTGGAAGCTGGTGTCGATTCCTCACATCCGTAGCCTTCCTTCGCCGTTCCCGTTAGGGCGTCTGAAGGCCGCTTCAGAGGTATCCTGTCGGTCGATTTGCGTGATGAGCCATCTCGCTCGCGGCGACTCCGAGGTTTCCAGGGAACGAAACGGCTTCCCCAAAAGCGCACGGTACGCTTGTTCTCTCTGGGAACGATCAGCTTCATCTTTGCGTGGCACCAAATGTTCCGGAGGGGCCTACCCACTCCCGTAGAGTTGAGGAGTTTGGGACTATTGAGCCTCACCCACTTATTCCGAAACTGTCGCATAAGGGAAACTTCTGCGATTATGCGGAAGTCTCCATCGCCTCCAGCGGCAGGAAACCCGCTGAGCTCTGATTTTCCGACATCGATTCCCAAAGTAACGCGTTCGGATAATGGAATAGCTCCCGGTTTGGATAGCTCCGTCGTGTTCGCCGTCAATCAGCATCGCGAACTCACGCAGATAAAAAATTGAGATTCGGCTCCAAAGAGGAGGGGCGCGGAATCGGTCGCGGTCCGCGGGCCAGCTTCTGATTAGCCCCTGCCTCTGAGCCAGCTAGTCCGAAATGCTTCCCCAGGTGCCGTGAAACAATAATCGGAATGAGAATGATGGACAGAAGAGAAAAATAATAGAAATGATGCTGCCTATCTCGCAAGATTCGATCGGAGTTCGAGCGATTGGGAATCCTCCAGGTGTGTCACCGCAGCGCGATCGGCAGCTGATGGAGCCATCGTACGAAGCTAGTATTTTCAGTCGAATCTTAATGGCATATCCCGCCAGAGAGAAGCGTGAAGACCCATAGGTCCATTGGTATTCCGAATCAACGAGCAGAAGATCGAGCCATATGACTGAAGGAAGTCCAGTATTTCGTCATGTCAGCGATTCCATGAGCGGACGCTGCTCCGTGCGCTGCGAGTCGTATTTCGTGGGTATGTTCGAAAACAAGGATCACAAGCATCATTTACCTAAAGAAAGATGTGTTCGAGAAGCGCAGCGCAGTGGTGAAAATCGAAGGTGGTGCCGCTCAAAAACGAGGTTTATATGGAAAAATAGCAGCACGTCGGGTGAAAATTCATAGCCCGAGCCTTAATGACTCGGTCGAAGTGAGAGAACTTGGAAAAAAAAATGTGAACCACGAGACTCTGACTTCAGTGAAAGCAAAACACTAATCCACTCGGTGTGATTCGAGGAATGTGAGCGCTAGCTGGCTATGTCTTTGGACCGAGGTGACTCGGGTGGGCTACCACGACAGCAACAACAACCGCAACAGCAAGCGTTGTTGCTGCCACCATCGCAAACGCAACAGCAGCATCAGCGACCGCAGCTACAGCAGCGTCCTGAGTCTCAGCAGTCCGCTGCTGTTGTGGCGGCGTCTAGTGGGCCCCAAAAGTCTACGGAGGAGAGAAACATGGTTCCTGAGAAAGAAAATGCCAAAGATTCGAATGGGTTAGTCCTTCCTAAGATCGGCTGCAGCAAGATATACCCCGTGCAGATCAGGCAGGGGTCCTATCCTATTGGGACTGAGCGAGCGAGATGCGGTACAGACTATACTCGCAAAGTCGTTGATAGAGGGAGACCGACAGAGAAGGATTCCAACTCATTCTGAGAATTTCTCTGAACGAGCATAGAATCTATAGTGTGCGCCTAATCGAATATTGTCGAAATAGAAGGGCTATTTTCCAGGTTTTCTGCCATAAGTTCGTCGTCTGTTGTGGCGAGTGAGGATCCTCGTCAGGTGGGGAAGGAATACAAGAAATGGCAACACAACGAGCTAGAAAGGAGGCGGAAAGACAAGGTTCGTTGGAACGAATCCCCCACATTCGAGGAGTCCCTCCTCAGATGCGGATCCAGGAGGGTGCTTCGGTATCACTCAGAGCTCGATATTTATTGAATTTTCTGCCGGGCGGTTCTTCCATGGTTCCGCGACGTCGATGCGAGATACATCGAGTCAAATTAAAGTCTCCTGAGGGAGGGGGGGAAGAGGGAAACTTTTCGAGGAAGGACTCAGAGGCGAAGAGTATCGACTTATCCACTCTATTGCGAACCTCCTTTGCCCTCTTCCAGATATCAGCTGGAATTCTTCGCCTGGGTGAGCTCCTTCCGGAGCGAGATCCCCGACGGATGGCAAAAGTGGACATTCTATGCCGAGCTTGCACATACATCACCTACCTGAGAGATCTCAACGAGAGAATTGTGGCTGATAAAGTTTCTGCGGTTCATGGTGAGGCCCCGATAATATATGATCATCTTCGGCCGTCCCCTCCTCATAGTCTTGAGCTTCTATCTCAGCATTGGGAACATTTTGCAGCTATCATGTTGAAGGATATGCGCAACCAGATTCGCGACTTGGAGAAAGTCAATTCGAACTATATGAGATTGCTCCAGAAGTACGGCATTTCTCTGTGTTCGGAGCCCAGCGCCGTCGCTAGCATATCGGACGCACGGAAAACAGCCCTCGAGAAGGAATCCGTCAAGGACGGGGGCTCTGACAGAACGAACGCGATCGATTCTGTCCCAAAGGTTCGTTTTTTTAATTATTTTCTCAGTAAGTTCTTATCTCCGAGTCGATAGACTTCTGCCGACGAATGCGAGAACTTGCGCCGTCTTTCTCACGGATATCCGCTCCCAATTAACAGGAGGGACAAGTATCTTCGAACGTGTCGTCCACGACGGCACCGCTCACACCGAAACCCGATACGATGACCTTGAACTCTCTCGGCGTGAATTCCCTCCCCTTGAATGGTTTGCTCCAACCTCCTCTGATGCAATTGGGAACAGCGCAAGGCCAACCTATTTTGATGATCAATGATCAGACGGGCACTGTCTTGACTCAGGCATCGAACGTCATCATCCCCGCACAAACGCAGACGCAACCAATAATCATAAATGGACCGGGTGAGTAGGTGGATCAGCATTCACGGGAACGCTTCACCTCTTCCATCGCTCTCAGGTTTTCCTTCGCTGGAAGCTTACGATTCCGCTCGCGGAGCCTTAATAAACGAAATCTAAATTTCAGGTGGTCCCCGGATCGTGAACGCTGTGTCCAGTGCGACGGGAACAGATCTCATTCTGAGTAACGGTCAGGAATTGCTGGTTCAGTCGGCGACGGATCCTAAGGCCACAATCGCCATGGGTGGCCACCAGATCCTCTCGTTGAGCGGTGCCAGCGGAACGATATTGCTGCCGTCCGCGAGTGGAGGGCTCGGACTGCCTATCGTATCCCATACGACCTCATCTTCCCACGGATTCTCGTTCGTCAACACGGCCGCCATGAATCAGGCTCCGATCCTACAAACGACAGCGAACGCCGCCGCCAGGAAACCCATTCTGAGTTTGGCCACGAACTCCAACGGCAAGCCTGTAGTGACTCTATCAACGTTGCTCATCGATAATACAGCTGGATCTCACGATGCGTCCGCCGCTCCGGCCGCTCCCGCCCCCGTGACGAATTTCCGGGAAAAACCCCAAACGAACACGAGCGTTGCCACGGAGGAAGATCCTTCGAGGAAATCTTCAGCGACACTTGTCGACGGGACTCAAACAGCGGTAATCAACGCCAACACTATCAATACGGTCCACGCCGTGGCTGGGGATATCGCGAAGAATGCCGGTCTCAAAAGGCCTGCGAGTACGCCGAGCGGCTCATTTTTCCTGATGGCCCAATCGACGACCTCCTCGTCTCCCACAACATCCCAGCCCACGGTTGTCATGAGCAGCATGGGCAGCAAGAAGCGGAAGACTTCCAGCTCGAACGGTATCTCTTTCGAGTCTGAAGAGGAGAAGGAAGAATCGCAGATCGCCAACGCTTCGTCAACTGACATATTAGCGCAGGCTACGGAGAGTATTTTCAATTCACAACCTCAACTTCCGGGCCTGGCTTCGCCTCCGCCACCGCCTAAAACAACGGTCGCGTTCACCTCTCATTGCAGCAATCAGCGTCAGCCGACAGTCGCTTCTCAGGGCGCAAATTTCTCAGCTCAGGTTCCGGCTCCGGATAACACTCCGGATGCATTCCACTCAACTTCTCTCAGTCGCAACGTCAAGCAGCAACTACCTCAGCCCGAGCAGAATCCTCCGAAAAGAGTGTCGGTGGTCGCATCGAGCAACTTACCGACCGTTGCGGTCACGGCAGCGATTCCGGGTCCCACGAGGCAGCCTCTCAAGGCGAAAACGGCCCAGCCCGCTCCTCCCAAATCTTCAGCTACAAATATCGTTCCTGAAAGCATTGTGAAGGATTCTCAGCCAAAACAAGTCGTCCAGATCTCATCGCTCGAAAGTCCGAGAGTCCGGGTGGTGCACGCCATGCAGACCACTGATCGGGAGCAACGTCTCACCTCAACACCTATACCCTCGACGAACAGTGTCGTGACGCTTCCGTCGAAAACTCCTGTTGGTAAAACACGCATTTCTAGTTCGGTCGTCCCTCAAGAAAAGCGCGCTACCACCATGAGTCACGCCAGTGCGAACGGTGCGGTCGACACGGGCACGACAGCGGCGACTGCTACAGCTGCTGCCGCTGCGACGAGCTCCACATCTCCACCAACGTCTACGATTGCGACGAGCGAGACGAATACTAAAGACGATGAACAGAAAAGAGCCGGTCCGAGAACCGTAGCGCAAGCCTTGAAAGCTGCGGCAGCATCTTCGTCGTTAGCGGCATCATCGGCCTCTGCGTCGTCTTCGTCGTCGAGCTCGACGTCAACATCATTAGCTATGCCCACGAACACTGTACCCACGACGAGTCACGCTCTGGGCATCCCTCTGATATCGAACTCTATCAATGTGAACACTACTCGAGGCTCCAACGCGAACCCGCTGTATGGCGTCCAGATCCAATCGGCTCCTCCCGTCTCTCTGAGCGGTTTGTCGATGCCGACTCTGCAGTCGAGTGATAGCCCGAATTCGCCCCGTCTAAGGCTCCCGCCGATGGACTATCGACAGAGTCACGGCTTAACTATTCCGCCCGCTCCATCCCCTATGCAAAATCTGCAACATCCGCCCAAATCCCAGGAGCCAGAGATGGCAACGAAGAGCATAAACACACTCAACCAAACATCCGATAAACGACCAAACAGCAACGGGCCGAAATGCAGTTCTCTCAGCAACGAGACCGGTTTCTCTAAAAGTATTTCGCCCCCGTCGCGGAGCCCTCGGGGAGAAATTCTTTCCCCGATCCAGAGCCCCGACGTTAACCGAGCTGTCAATCGATCACTTTCCATGGAGCCTCCTCTTCAAAGCCAGATCGTCATACAGCCACCACCACCGCAGCAGCAGCAGCAGCAACAACAACAACAACAGCGGCAACAGATCCAATCGCATCAACTGCGACGGCCACCGCAACAATCGCAGCAGCAGCATCAAACTCAACACTCACAGCAGCAGCAGCAGCAAGTGCAACAGCAGCAGCAGCAGCAACAAGTACAACAACATCAACAACAGCAACACCAACAACAACAGCTATGCAATTATTCTGCTGAAAGTCTCATCGGACCTTCTATAGTTCAGTGTTCGTTGAGAAATTCGTCGAATCAGCTGAACTCCCCATACTCGACCGAGAGCCTCCTCCAAACGGGTGGGGCCGGTGACACGATCACGCTTTCGTCCGCCGGTTCACCCACGTACATTAACAAAAGAATCGATCACATGAATGGTAACGCACACTCCACAAAATCCGTAGTAGCTCAGAGCATGAACACTCCGTATAACGTGAACTATTCGACTCCGACCGAGAGACCCATGTACCATCATAACAGTAGCAGCCAGTCGCTCCATTCTACGTTACCACCGCCACCTTCGACAGCGACAGCTGCCACGGCCACGGCTTCGGCGCCTCAGCAGCAACAGCAATCCCAACAGACGAGTAACTCGAACGTGCCAGCAGCTACAGCGACAACTTATACGCCGTATAATTTGGACAGTTTCTGCAATAACTCCTCTCTCAACTACACTTCTTCGATCCATCATTCATCGCAGAACAACAACAGTAACCATCACAATTTCGCGGGGGTCAATAGTGGCATGAACAACGATTACTTTATTCCGTCGCGAACAAACCCGACCCCGGAGTACGGTTCGAATAGCCTTATCCAGAGCAGTCCTGTGAGTCAACACATCTACCAAAACTCCCACAGCGGATTCCACTCCCAAGCGAGCTCATCCCTCAGTAGCGATTTCCCTCACCCTCCATTGAATCTTCACGACCACTCGACGGGAGTTCTCATGAACAATTTCGCACCGCCCGTGACCCCAGTCCCACCACAGTTCTTGCCGAGCGCGGATAAGGGAAATAAGCAAATTTCGCCGGCGAATATTTTCGGGATCTCTGTACCCACATCGAAATGCCCACCATCGTCTATCGCAGGTTACCCTTGCGACACGACGGACGTCGGTGGGGAGTCGCAGTCGAGTAGAAGTAAGGCTTTGAATCACTCGCCGAGCGCAAGCAACGGAAGTAGCGGTGGCAACTGCAACAATCCTGGCGGTAACAGCGGTAACAACAACAAGCCCGCTCAAAAAACCAGATCGAGTCAATCTTTGGATAGCTACACGATGATGAGCTCGGATTCGAGGTCGTCTTCGACACTGGGTGGCTACTTCGATTTCGGTATGGTCGGTTCAGCATCTGCGAACGCTTTCAATCAATGCTCATCTTCGTCGAGCGGACAGAAGCCCAGTCACCAGAACCGGATGTGGCCGCCGATGGCAACTTCATCTCACGCATTCTCCGACGGAGGCTATTTGTTCATGCCCGCTCGTTCCTCATCGTCCGTGACCGCAGGTCACAGCAGGAGCACTCCTACATGTCTGCCTGCCAGTGGATATCATCAATCCGTATCGGATACAACGAATCGACAGCACGGTAGCAGCAGCAGTAGCAGCGGCAGCCATTCGCAAACGAATTTCAACTTAAGTAACATAATTCCTGATATTGGTTGTGGCCCCCAGAACAGCGGCAGTGTGCTCCCTGTACCGAACGGGCAAGTGGATTCACTTTACGCTGGTCGCCCGCATCCGCCGCCCGTGCCCCCGTCCCTCTCGAACTCATTTCTAGCCCCTTCCCGGCATTCGGGCTCAACGCCGAGGAGTGCGACGTTCGCACTTTTCGATAAAGATTTCGATTCTCGTAACGTGACCGGTATCGATCGGGTTTCTCAACTGAACTTCTGAGCATCGCTCCCCTTGAACGGTCCGGTAGTTCGCGCAGACCTTGGCGTATGCTGCGACTTTCGCAGTGGAACGCTCTGTCGGGGCAGCTCACAACCAATCGCAGAAATCGAGACCGCATAGGTCTTCGACCATCAGCATCGTCACGAGTCACGACCCCCCTAGAATAGAATGTTGGAGAAGTCAGGTTCGAGTGCTCAACTCGATCAGTTCTCTAGAAATTCTTGGCTCGGATATCATCATTCGAAGCGGGACTTGTATATTTTGGTGCAAGGGCTCGTTGGGCCTCGAGGCCCCCTTTCACAAGTGCATCAATGTCTGTAAGTATGTATGTCCCAGAGACGGGAATTCGGAGGTTGTGTTCTCGGGGTTTTTGGGGAAGCTTTGCTTCACGCCCCCTCATATATTCTCATATTCCAGTCAAAGACTCTTGAAGTGCCTCTCCGCGTAAACCGGAGCGGCTCTAGTGTTGTTGTTGATCGAGGCTAGCTCATTCTCCCTTACCCCGATTGCCTCTTCTGCATCGAGAGAAGTATTGGATTATTCGGTCAGTGACTTGGCATCGCATCAGAGAAATGATTCTGAGGTTCGTTCGTCACTCGCGTAGAGCGTCGGAATGCTTTTTCGGCACCCCGAATCTCCAGCATCCGTTCCCGCGGATGCCGCTCAGAAGCAGAGCAGCCACCCAAGACCAGTGTCAAGATCTCTCTGACGCGGAGTTCGAGCTTTTTTTCTTCTCTTGGTTGATCCGATCGTTCCTTCATACAACGAGTTGCGGAATCGCTTCCGTTTTTAAACAGCCGTGTATCTCGCATGCTCCGGCTTAATTTATCTTTTATACCATACACATATACATACATGCGTATATGATTGCGCACGAAATTCGGACATATTACTAATGACTTACAATAATATAATTGACGAAGATGACGAATATTTATCGATGAGTCCTCTGAGGAAGCTATGGTGGTAGGCTTCGACGAGGGGAACGCTTCGAATATCTGTGATAAGCTATCCGTCACAAAAACCCAAACGTCCTAATGGTGTTCCACTCTGATCCCACTAGATTCACTAGATACAGATCCTCGTGATCTCTGGAAGAAACTGATGTTTGGAACTCAAGTTTCGAGATAATGAATCGCACCCAATAAAATTTATTCTACAATACAGCTGCTCCCGAGCGAAAATTGTGGTTCTCTTCACTTATATCGGCGATACAGTAGAGGTAAAGAAAAACAATAATTATCAAGATGTTCCCCATCACTGCTCTTTTTAATTTACAAATTCAACACGCCCATTATGAGGATAGATGCATGAACAAGTGTAGAATCTCGCTCTCAACATAATAAGCTTCAACAGCTGCAATACAGGGACTCTCCGAGTGTACGTGAAAATTGAGGAGCGGCTTAACTGTAGAGTCTCCACGTTATCCGAGCCCGGGAAGTCCTTTGAGCGGATGGAAATGCTTCAGTCCTGAATCTGGATCTGCAACCCGCGAATGAAGCTCGTGGAACCTCTCGAGCAGGTTGGGAAGCCGACTGGACTCAAAAGCCACGAGTCGTGACCACGGAATCGCATCTCGGAGACACTCCGATATCATTCTGCGGTCAGCACAAGCATATGAAGCTTCAGATTCTCTCCGATACCGATCGTATATCGAAATCAGATTCCGAGGCGCTGCGCGATCCTATCAACGGTCAGTTGCGATAGTCCAAAAATATCCTCTGCCATTTGCTCGACTGTGGTGTAACGAACTTTCTTGAAATCGAAGACGTCCACCATCAAGCTCATGACTTCTTGCTGTAATGAATATTTAAGCCGATCACTGCCCGTAGGAAGCTCCGCTCGGGCAGACCCGACAACAGAAGTTTTGGGGCTGATACGAAAATGACGGAGTTCGGACTCCGAGGAAAAACGGTCGTTACCCACCTTGAAATGAAGACAAGTATCGCGAAGGTCCTGGTTCGTACCGAGGAATCCCCAAGCTAACACCGGTGTTAGATTCTCAGCCACGTTGTAGAAATGTGTGAAGAATCCTTGGTCGACTTTGACTCGACTTTTCTTGGCCTTTATGACCGACCACACGGCGGTCGACAGAGCCGTTTCACGAAAACCGGCGGAGAGCCATCTATTCTGGATGACCGACAGAACTGACTGTGGAGGATCGTCGAGATCGTCGAAAGCCTCAATCAGCAAGAAATCGAAAACAACATCGTAGATCGTCAGGGCGGATACCCCGCGAGCCCTCAATTCTCGCTCCATTATGTCTCGATTTTCCGGCTGATCGACCCATTCGATAAGTTTCACGTATGCTTCTAAGCAGTATTTTGGATCTTTTTCGGCGTAGACGAGCAGACCAGCCAAAATTTGAGATCCGGCATCAATGTACATCGTCCGAACGGAATTCTGTCGCGTCAGATGTTGGAAGGCCAGACGAACGCAATGTAATTTCGCCAAATACTCTTCATCGGTATGACAGTTCACCAAATTGGTTCGGATTGCTCGAGCAGGTACGCCTGTGAAAGAATGAACTCAATCTAGGGACTTGTGGGAGAAATTCCCATTTATGGAAAAGCACGGCCAAGTTCGAGAGCTCCGGGCTAGTCGATGCTAAGTTTGCAGGAGAACTGGAATGGCACGGGATCCAAAGCTTTTTTTTTCTTACTTATACCCGGAGTACTGGCTCATTGACCTGAAGCGAAATCTGGAGCTCACCGTCACACTTGAGCAGCGCAAGAGCATTCTGGTAAAGATGTAATTCTTCCGGGTTCACGGCGTCTTCGAAATCTTTCAAGTTGGCTATATCGCCCTCAGCTGAGACGAAACTTTCTTCGTCGAAACTTGTCACGGTACGTGCGTCGAACCTGAATAGAGGATGAATCAGTCAACATCACTCCGAAAATTTCCTCATTCTTCCAATAGCTCGTAGAGAGCACCGACCTGTCATAGTCTTTCAAATGGCCTCCAGCGATCGAGCTCTTGTCATCGGTGATTTGGAAGAGGAGAGAAGTGTTGTCGAGGAAAAGCTTCGAAGTGTTGTCTCGTAGCTTGAACGCTTGTTTCATGACGATATTCAACTGACTGACGAACTCAGATTCAGCATTAGTCTGAAATTCGAAACAGATATGACCCGTGAGTCTTTCGCATTCGGATCGAGCTGCAATTGACCGGTACCTATGTAGCTCCTCGATAGAGAAAAACGCATGAGTCCACTGATATATACCTAAATCATAGATCCGATGATGGCTTTGCGATTTCGGTAGCCACCGTATATCCGTCGACTCAGCCGCTTCATTTCGGTACGAAAAACTCACCGGCAAAGCCATGAGCGCGACTCCTCCATTGGAGTTCGGTAAATTTTGGAACACGCTTACAGCATCCTCCCAGTAATGGATGGCTGTGTCGAGCGCCTCCATACCCATGACTCCGTATTGCTGAGGCGTGAACTCCTCCTTTTGCTCAGGTAGCACCGTGTTCAGAGTCGTCACCGAACCCTTGTCCACGTCCCGGAACTGTCGACATCGCACACACAGCGGGGATGGCATGCTGCGGAGTTGCGGGATGTCTGCGGGGAAGAGCATTGAATTTTGTCTGGGAGGACTGGTGAATCAAGGGTCGGATACAGCTCCTCGAAGAGCTTGGTTTTATCGCACAAGGTAAATAATGATATCGAGAGTAAATATTGAGAATCTTACCTCCATTCAGCCCCCTGAATGAGTAAATTCGCTTCCGATCGCTATTCGGGGCACTGGTTCTCGAACCAGTGTCCTTGTCACGTTTCCATCTGAACCACAGACTAGACGCAATGCTGAACACAAGTACCGTGCCCCCACAAACCAAAAATATCACTTTGGCTTTCAACGGCACCGTCGGTAGTTTGATAGAGGAGCCCGCGCGGATCGAGAGTGACATGATCTGGAAGAGAAGCGGTGAGTTCGGAAGCTCTACTACGAACTTCCTCCATGCTCTCCACAATCGTCTATATCTGCCGGAATGCGGGGAGAGCTCTGGAAGATCCAGAGTGTGGGGAAACCTCCCTCGGACCGGAACTCTGCTCGGCAATCATGTCTTCCGATTTCCTTGCACTTACCGTTTGCCGAAGGCTTGCGCAGATATTCTGCTGGCGAATCCGGGATAGATGTCACTCGTAAGAGGTGAACAGATATCAACTTCATTCGTCAGGGTGGAAGATCAAAAGCTCGGGGGCAAACTTGACCACAGTCCGCGAGGACAGCATCGCAGGGTCAGATGAATGTGGAGTGGCAGCCTCTCGAGCAGGACCAGGAAGATTCGATCGCTATGCCCTCCTTCTCGCAACCCACTCGATCCACATGGAGATCACCTCCTGAATGACATGACTGGATACTTGGATACGGTTAGCACAGCGTGCATGTTTTCCTTTCGTTGACTTCTGTCGGCTTCGGAGAAGGACCGCGCCATTTTGTCCCGTACCGATACCTTCGAAAAAAGCGCGCGAAAGAGCAGTTAGTCGTCGAGCATTTGGCTCGCTCTTTGATAATAAATCGACGATTCCTCCTCATTGTTGTGCATAGAATCTCTCGCGACTCGTGAAACTCTTGAGGGCTCTTTCGAGGAGAAGTTTTTTCTGTTTCCCGAAACGCTTGCTCCGAACATCTATACGAATGTGGAACCACTGTCGAGATCCCGGCAATGGCTCTGGGAATCTCGGAATCTTCGACGGATAGTGGGTCTATAGTCTGAATTGAGAGTCATGCAGGTGCGGCCAAGATGATCGAATGGTAAGTTTCCCGTGCTCAAGGGGTTTCAGAATGAGATCCCGGCAAGGATTGACGCTACGCTCCGCTCTTCTCATATTATTATCAGACTGTCGAGATGCTCCTGCCAATGGTGGACGTCGGTAGAAGAATTTCGAACAGTGTTCCACACGGTGAGGTCTGATCGGGATACCTTCAGGCGGCGATCCAAGTCGCAGAAGCCCGAGATCGCTGTCAAACTTGGAATGAGACAATGCCATCGCTTCAGCCATCTCATACGCCCATAAATTGCGCAACTATGCGGAGCGACCGAGTTCGCTGGAAACTTCGATTCTGTGATGGACCACAGCGTATTCTCATTTGAATGCACACTGGATGATTACGAGAGGTGAGCGAGATTGGTCGACGCTGACCTAGTGGAGACCGCGTCGTCCTCGGGAGCTCTGCGAGCCTGTCAGACCCGGCAATACCTCCCTGTTCCAGCGAGCGCGTCTACGGTTGCGAACAATTCTCTGCTTAAGCGTGAGAAACGTAACCAGAATTGAGTCATCGCGACTGAATTCGTCAGTGAAGACTCGAATATTGTGAACTATGATATCGCTGAACATAGGAAAAACAACCATGAATTATCCTGATCACTTCAGTGGTTTTGCTCCCGGAGCTTCCCGGATTCGACAGAATGATTGTGACGTATATTTCCAGCTTGACAAATTTTCCGGTCGCGCAATGGGTCCACCTGAGGTATTGTTGAGATATAATGTTCTCTGTCGCAGTCTGATACTTTGAGAGAGACAGTTTTCTCCCTCCTTAAGGCCTTCCACTTCCCTGGATTCATATAAGCACAGTGAAACGTTGAATAAACACTGGGTAATACCATCTGTCTGTTCGGCTATACCGAGTTCTGTTGGTCAATTCTGAATAGGTATCGGTCTCCCTTTTGCTGGAACGGCGGGTGAACCCATTGAACGGGTTTCACTGTAACTTCGAACTGTATCGATGCTCAATTGCGGAAGCAATTAATTTCCCTTAAGTATAGCCCTGATCTCGGCTGACGATGAAGTGTGAGGTTACAGCCACGTGCTTGAGTACCCAGCTCCAAAAAACTGATCGTATCGAAGAACTCGTGCGGGTGGTGCTGACCTTGGGATTGAGGAGATCCCCTCCGAAATGAAAAGCCAGTCCTTCCACTCAGTCTCGAACTCTTTATCGGCTCTTGATGAGTTTCTTGCGACGCTCAATCGGACTATGACGCCGATCGGGCGGTTCATATCGAGAATGACCTTCCCTTCAATCAATTGAGGTCTGTCCCGCTGTGAGATTCTGCCAAAATATCTCGGAGGGAGAGACCGAGGTATTTTTAGTTGACTATTTGCTTGCTTGAGACTATCCGTCCTGCTCACGCATGATTGTATTCGAGGAGGAGAGAAACTCTTCTTCGCCCCCTCATCAAGGGGGCAGACTTCTCTCTCGCTCATTACCGATTCGGCCAGCGCTCGGGCGGCGGTCAGAGAACTTGATACTCTGATTGAATTGATTTCGAAATCAACCTACATCACAGAGGAATCACTCTCTGGCCATGTTCTGGCATAGGAACAGAGATACTGGAAGAATTCGGTAGCCTAAACAATGTGTGTTCTCTCTCTCTCTAGCTATCACATGAAAGTAAATCTAAGCGCATGGAAAAAATTTCAAAAGGACTCGCTGACCGGCAGCGATACGGCGGACTCGCGTCACCGAAGCTGGCTCGGTCCGGGAAAAGCATTACGCTCTGAAAGTTCGCCTGAGCCTGGCTTCTCATCGGGTCTATCGCGGCAAGAAGCCGTTCATGGTGAACAGACGGATGCTTGAAGAATCTTCCCCTGAGGGAAGAAACGGTTCGTGTTCCGGGAGTGTCCCGACGACCGGGTAGGTACGCGGGACTGTGTTCCCCGAAGGAGGTACGACCAGAACGCTTTTCTCCGAATCCTTCAAGCGAAGATGAAATCTGCCGAATGAGCCCTGTTCGTTTCCAGCTGAGTCGGAGCGTTGACTTCGTCTTCCATCTCCGTGTTGTCCTTGTTCTGGAAAATAATTTCAGTCAGGCGAAGCGGTTCCATTGAGCGACCCGAAAGCTCGAAACGGAGATCCCCAACTCAATCAAAAGTAATGCGTCATGAGTGAAAAAAAATGCTGTATCGGCCAACTCCCACGTTCACGAGCCTCCGGGGTCCTCCAAAGTCTCTCGATAGCTGATTCTTGGAACGTACCTTCGGAGTGTCCCGGGTCACGGAAACCACTTTCGTTGGTATCCGGAAGACCTGGAGGAATCGATCCATGATCTTCGATTCCTCCTCTTTCGTCGACGGTCGAGCGCAGTACTGCATCAGCTGCTGCAGTGTGCACGGATTCCTGCAGCACTCGTCGACGATCCCCACTTCCCGGGGTCTCAGACGATGCTCGAATAAGCTCAACGCTGTGAACGGGAACGTAATCGGGTCAATTCAGGACAGAGGATTCCTGGAACCTATGCATATAGGTCTATCATTGTCGATTCGTTCGACACATCGATATCGTGATGAAGTTCCGATATTCAATCTTCATCAGAACTCTACGCCGGGGTACGTCGAATGATCGAGGATCCTTCCGACCATTAAATGAGGTTCGCGTCTGAATGAACGCGAAATTAGAGAGCGCTTCGATGTGCGCTGACTGGGAAGAAGCTGTTCTCCACCCATTACATTCAAGAGCAGCCGACGTGTGTGACGGACTCAGGGGAATTGCTAGGCAATTGAGTTGACCTCTCTCTCTATCTGCGCGCCGGAAGCCTGAACGGAACATCATTTCCACTGGTCGAACGAGACGAAAGAGGTTCACGTTTCCCGAACGGTAAATTGGCGAGGAAAAGCGCAAGACTCTTGTTCAGCTTGACACGAGCGCAACACGACGCATGTTCAGCGGAACGATGCCACAAGGTGAGAATCTCGAGGTGGTCGTCCGCTCGGGCAACACTGTTCCTTGCTCCATTGGGAGCGAGGAGGTCCCGTCGTCTTTTCCGCGATCAATGTCAAGAACGGCAGCTTCCGTCAACGGCACAAACTAGCGGAGGCTCATCGTCATCCCGTTCCGTACCTTTTCTCAATCTGCCTAGTGGAAGTCATCAGTCTCCCTCTGGATTCGCGGGGAAACCAGGCCAGACAGGTTTGGTGCCCGCCGGACGGTTCCTTTGAAGCTCATGGATCGACTACACACGGTGATCATCAGACGTCCGATCCGGGGGTGGATCGCAGATGGATCGGAAGATCTTAGGGAAGCCCATCGCAAGGTCGGGAACCCTCGGGGATTCCCGATCTTGATTCAATTTCAACCGTTTTTTTTTTATCAAAAAGTATCGAGGAGTCCGGAGTATCGAAAAGTATAAAGGAGCATCCAGGAGCATCGAGAAGGATTATTGTTGTCGAGGAGTCTGAATGAATCAAGCTTGAAACGGAGCGGGAGCTGGAGAAGATTCAGTGTTTTGTGGGCCGCGAAGTTCATCAGTGATCATCCACACGCGGAGGGGCCTCTTCTTGCCGCGAGAAATGGGACGGAATAGAGTAAGGAGACCAAGGGTCCTCAGTCGGACGTGTATACTGCTCGCATCTCTTAGGCCTCCCGACATTGGAGAAGGCAGATAGCCGACGAGGTGCGACGGTGGCCACAGATAAGTAGCGGCTCCGTTCGACCGTAAAGGAGGAAATAAACAACCGGACTATTTACGGCGACAAACCGCTGGAGCGAGCGAAAGTAGAGAGCCAATCCATCAAAGAAAGTGCGCTTTGCCGCAGTCTTCATCTTCCGGGGACAATCCTGGAATCTCTTTCGTTCCTCTCTCATCTCGCAAACAATAAACACGAGAGGAAAAGTTCTCCGGAGCGGCGACAAACCTTCATGAATCGCCGAGTTGCTCGCGCGAGGAAACTCGTCGAGGCTCCTATGGGCTAACTCCACTCACCTCGCTCCGACCTGCGCTGCATGCGTTGGTTCAATCCTCCAACCAGATTGCAGAGATTGATCGTCAAATCCGATAATTTGTGACCGCACATTCGGACTCTCCGACCCTCCAGGTCAGATGCCAAGCTGTCTTCTGGGAGAAGTAGCTGCAGGAAGCAAAACACTAGCCCTACCGACCAGCGGTTGACAGTGAACATCATTTTGCTGCGAACAAAGAAAGTTATTCTTTAAAATATTATCGTTGCCGCTGAAAAATCCTCATCTCACCTACCGGCAGGGAGAAGTCGATTTCCTGGGCTTTCACTAAGTCACAATGGAAGATGCAATGGATTTTGTTAGAGTCCTCTAGGGGTTCCCACGGATACAGACCTCCGATTCTACGATGAAATGAGAGGTGTCTCCCCGGCTTGCGCTTCATTCACGCGCCCAAACGTCGAGGCGTCCGACAAGTCGAGTCTTCACGTCGACGGGGAGCGATTCTTCCTCCAGGAAGCGTCGCCGTTGGGGAGGCTGCGGCAGCCAGACCAGGGATAGAGGCGCAAGACCGGTAGAGGCACGACTCGATTGTGCTAAGGGGCCGGTTTGGGAGGACGACGCCCCTACCGCCGGCCTGCAGTCGGTCTGGAGCGCAGTGGGAGATACCGAGCTTGGAGATGTCCAACACGAAAGTGGGTGGGCAAGGGAAAAGGGCGAGAAGAAGAACGAGGCGAT